TCATCTGTCCAGTAGTGATAGATTCCCTTCAAAGCCGGGGAAAATCAGAATATTATTCACCAAACGGAATATACAATCAGATACAGTGCCATTCAGAGAAACCCATCCACCGACATTCGGCAATGTGACGGTCCCGCAGGCGCACGCGCTCTTCAGGGAACTCATCCAAGACCTCCTGCATAGAGCTGGCCTCCGGAAAGCAGTGGCAACGACCGTTGCCGTCTATCTTGGAAGGACTTCTGTGGCAATAAATCTCTCCAAACACTCACCAGCCACTAACCACATCCCACCAACCTGTCTCCATCTGAGACTTATTTATTTTCAAGATTATATATATATATATGACTTTCGTATCTTAATCAAGTCTTATCGAACAACTTCTGGTGATATGGGTGTGTCTTTCTTGGACGCTACCCCTTTTGCTTGGCGTTGAAGGGAAGTCCCCTAAAACAGACACACCCACATGGAGGACAAAGACCTGCCTGGTGACGGTAAGGGAAACCAGCACACCAGCACATCAACCAATGGGTCCATCCTACGAAACTGGATGCTGAACTCTCCATTCTGTGGTCTTTACAAATGGTGATGGTGGGTTCCTTTGGTGCAGCCTCTTGCAAATGGGATCCGTCCTTTTCCATTCTCGGATCAGGGATGTATCTGAACCTCTTCAAAAATGGGCGCCTCTGTGAACATGTGTGGGTTCCCTTCGGAGAACGATTGGTGAAGAGAATGGATTTGGAATCAACCCTTACTAGGTCCTCCAGTAGAGAGGTTAGAATAAGGGTACCCTTTTTTCTGTAGACTATTTTAGTATAGGAACCCTCCCCAAGAAAAGGGTGAAAAAGGGCACTACTGGGGGACCTAGCTTAGAACTACAAGGTACACCGCATCTGGCATTTGCCAAACCAGCGGGCAGGTCCTGCAGTTCGGGTTCTTCTGGTTTCCAACCATCCACGGGGTCCACTTCTTGCAGGAAGGCGTGGGGCACAACAGGGGGCCACCAACGTCGCCTCCTTGGTGGAAATTCGACCCAATCGACCCCAAAATTTAAACCAAATTGCATTTGAAGCCCCCCCCCCCAACAAAAACCCCCCAACCAAACCCCGGCGCACCCCCAACAAACCCCGACGCGACGCGGCCTCCACTGTGTAGGCCACGATCTTCGTCTGCGCGCGCACGGTGGCGCTGGAGACCTTGGCGAGGCCCAGGATCGCCACCTGGCGAAGCGCATCGCGCGTCTACGGCGTGGTGGGACCCGTGGGCAGGGCGTTTCACTACTTTCAGCTTTTTTGGGCGTTTTGGTTCTTTGGGTTTTTCGTTGGGTTGTTTTTGGGGGGTTGGGGTTCTTTGGTGTTTTTTTGGTTGTTTTTGGGGGGTGTTGGGTTCTTTTGGGTTTTTCAGGTTATTGTTTTGGGGGTGTTGGCTTTTTTTTGTTTTGGGGGGGGGGGTTGGGCTTTGGTGGTGTTTATATATATATATATATATATATTTGGGGGGGGGGGGGTGGATTTGTTTTGATTTTTGTTGGTGTCAAAGACCAGCGGAACGAGGTCCGCAACTCCCTGAGCAATAGGGGAGCCTCGACTTCATGAGCTTGTTCCAGAAGCTCAAGTTGCCTAATGTTGACCCCTGTTTAGTCATACGGGGGGTGCTTTGCCCTGGGTGAAATGTGGGGATTCAGACCACTTTTGGAGGGGAACCACCCTCTCCAAAAAAAGAAGAACAAAAACAGGGGTTGACGAATATGGGGTCAACAGCAACCGGAAAGCCCAAAATGTGGGGAGTATCTCTACATGTGGTTACTTTTGCTTTCCGCTGTCCACTGAAACCAACTTTCAGGCTCAGCCCCCTGAAGGACGCACCCAAATCGCGTTTTGCTTCCTGGTGTTGTGGTTCAAAGGAGCATGAGCAGCATGAAAGCTGGGCAACTTCCTACACTTCACAAATTGCTAAGAAGGAATCCCTGAGCAAAGTGCCCTTCAACATGGGCGCTGGCCTTCCCGGGCGATGTTGTCATATGTTGCCCAGGTTTCTTTTGGGGTGGGGGTCAAGTTCGGAACCCGGTCGTACTCCACAAGGCCTCAAGGCTGGGAATTTTAACCTCTCCCACCCCGCCTGTTTGTTGGTGCAAAGCGGGGATTTTTTTGATACGTTCCCCTTCCTGAAGATCTGAAGCTTACTCAAAGTCACCAACCTCTTCCCCTCCTTCTCTTTCCTCTGATTCCGAAGCTTTTTGTATGGGTTCCATCTGCCTCTACATTCGGAGGTAAGGTTCCCCCCCCCATTTAAAAAAAAAAAAGAGTGCGGCCTATTTTTTGCTTCCCTTCAACCCACCGCAAGAATCCGCGCCAAACCTTTGGCAACCTTTGGCTCTCCAAAACTTTTGCCCGAGACCCTCCCACCCATTCCCCCCCAGAAGGCTTTCGCCTCGCCCAGGAACTCCCCGGGCCCACACTCCGCGATGTAGACCCCCTGACTCTCCACGATGGCGTTGCCCTGGTGGATCATCACCTCGGATTTGTCGGACTTCTCGGCTTGGGCTTGCTCAAGCGCTCTGTGCTGTGCGGCAGCGTTGGCAGGTTTCTCTCGCCAGTTGGCGCAGGCGCCTGGTTTCTCCAATGGCATCAGCAAACTGCAAAGTAGGGCAAACCCACGAAAATGGACCAGTCTGGCGCGGTATGACGTGTTCGTGTATTTGGGGGGTTGTCTCAAAGTAGAGGACCAAGGACCCCCCCCCAAAAAAAGAAAGAAAGATCGGCTACAAGTTTCCTCTGTGTTCATTTAAACCAACCCACACAAAGGCAGCCTCAACCAAGACACACTGACAAAGGCGCTTCTTCCCTTCTTCGGGCGCCTCAAAGTTTTGGCCTAGTGACAAATGGTTTGCGACCTCACCCATGTCGACACCCAAAAAGGGGAAGCACACCGACTTGGCTTCGGATTCATCCAAACAACCACCAAAATTTGAAAAGAATGAATTGGTCTGGAACTGAAGGGAGGGGCTCCCACCCCGGTTGGCATCCTTTTGATTCCGGAGTTGATTTTACTCCGCGAATTGGAGCCCCGCAAAGCGGGGTTCCTCTTCCCGAACGAAGATTCCTCTCTGGTGGTTTTCTGGGTGCCATGTTAATCTGGACCAATCCGTCAAAACTTGGAGTCTGATTTTGGGATGGGACCCATTTAATGTTGGCTGGAACCAATTTCTGGGCCACCGATGGTATCCTACAGACCCCATGGATGCCCTGAACCTTGCAAGTAAACCAACCACCCAACCCCCAAAACCAGAGTAAATTCCATAAATCATAGGGGTTCCTTGTTCCCCTACTCCACCCAACCCAACCCCACCCCCCTTGCATGTTTTTTTTTTTTGGCATCCATGAATTCCCTAGACCTCCCCATAAACCAACCTGTAACCTGTCCGAGGCTCCCCGTGACGCGGCTCTTCACCTTCGGTGAGAATCTTCTGATCCGGCAAGTACACCCGGCGCTCGAAGTAGTGGGAGAGCTAAGCCGAGAAAACGAAGGCATCGTAAACGGGCTCGAATGCATTCCGTTCTTTAAATCCTGGTTAGCCCCAGCTTATGAACCCCTGCTTATGAACCCCTGCTTATGAACCCCAGCTTATGAACCCCTGCTTATGAACCCCTGCTTATGAACCCCTGCTTATGAACCTTATGAACCCCTGGTATGAGAACCCCTGCTGCGAATCCGTATATGAACCTCTGGCATGAACCCCTAGCTTGACCCTTCAGTATGGCTGCAAGCCGGGGATCGAAACGGGGGAGAAAAAAAAAAACGGAAGGCGAATCGAAGTCCAGGGGAGTCAGTCGGGCCCTTGACCCAGATGTCATATAGTGTTCAACGTTGATCTGGACGGGTGCCAGGCTTACACATGGCCAGCCAAATCCGCATTCTTTTGATGCCAACTTTTCAAGGCAAGGATCCGACTGGACCTGTGCCAAGAGAGGGCCTTGTCCTTGCTGCCTCACCGCTTGGTTTCATCGATCCTCGTGTCTGTCTTTTGGTGTCGGAGTCCAGGGAAACCAGATCGGTGGACAAAAAAAAATGGGCACCCGCTTCACGGCCTTTGGCTTGTTCGGCTGAAAACCCCCCCAAGCCCATCGACCAACAGGGGTGTGTTTTTTTTCATTGGGCAAGGTGCCGATGCGGTCCCCGAAAAAGAAACACCAACTATTACATACTGGCGGCCTGCAAGACACATGCGCCCAAAGGTTGTCGTGGTTCACAACTTTCATGGAAAATGCCGCCCAAAAGCACCAAAAGGATAGGGTGCAAATCGCAGAAATGGCCGAAATCGCTTGGATGCGACACGGGACACCCCACAGCAGCCCCCCAGGTTCAAAGGACCCAATCCTAACCCACCCCTGAGGCTCCCCCCCCCCCGGCCCCTTCCGACGGCTCTCAGGGCTCGGAACCTTTCTGTTCGGCGGGCTTCTGGGGGCTCTCAGGGCTCAGGACCCAACTTGATACTGTGGATGGTTGCGAAATCCGCTCGCACCACTTGGACACAATGGTTGAAACCATTGGTATTTGCAAAGGAATCATCAGAAACCAGGGTTTCTTGGGTGGTGCAGGATTTCGGCCATCCACAGTAGCACACTTAGTCTTTACACATTCCCGGAGACCAACAGACCCCCTGAAACCAACAGAACCCCTGAAACCAACAGACCCCCTTGAAACCAACACAACTCTTGAAACCAATGAAAGAATCAAGAAACAAGCTAATAGCCAAATCTCATTTTCTTGAAAAGACATGCCTGGCTTCCTGTGGGAACCCGGACCAGGTTGATGTTCAACCCTAGGACTTAAAACTTGCTTTTGTCATGCTAGGAAAGGGCAGAGATCCTGCGGATGGTTGCGAAATCCATGTCGCACCAGCGTTCAGAAGCCCGGAATGAATCATGATTCGCCAAGGGAAAAAAAAGCTTCTGGTTCTCCTACGATCCCCCCCAAAAAAAAACAAAAAATGTGTGCTGGGTTCATTCCCATGGTAGGTCTTCCAGCGTGGCGCCACGGGATTTCGAGCGTCCGTCCACGGCATTTCGAGCGCCGCACCGCCCGAGGAACATTCCGCGTCTGAGGCCGCGGCCCGCGCCAGGAACGCCGCTCCGCAGGACCCGAACCTCGACATGCGCGGAATGCGGGAGGCGGGAGGTGCGGGGGGCGGAAGAGGTTTTTTTTTTTTTTTTTTTTTTTTTTTTTTCCGGGGGGGGAAGGGACCTGGCTTTGGCGATGGGAAAACGGGGTTGGTTGGTTTGGTGGCTTTATTGTATTGACTTCTTTTGGCTGGCTGGGTTGTGGTTTTAGTTGAGTTTCTGGTTGGGGATTGTTGGTTCGGTTGGGTTTTTGGTGTGTGTGGTTGTCGGGAACTCGTGGGGGAATAGCTCCGTCACTGCCTTGCTTTCCTATCTGGCGTGTAGATTGGTGCAGGATTTTGTCCATCCACATCTTGGTTGCTGTTGAGCCCTCTGCAAAAACTTGTTCACTTTGGGCTTTGCTGGAAAACCCAACTTGATTTCAACCAAAAGTTAAAGTCTAAAGACCCAACCCAATAGCAGTCAAGAAAATCTCCGGGAAGTGGCCTCAATGATGTCGGATTACAACCGGCGCTCCATGACGCTCCTTCCAAGATGTCATAGTTTACACCCTGTGGATCCCAGCAATTACGGCAACCCTTCGATCCATGATCCTAGTCTTCACTTGGCCTTTTGTTGCTTGGTTACATGCACTGGTAAATGGAGTCACTTGGTGAGGTTGGCGAATCGGCTTTTTTTGCTCCCCATGTGAACAGAGTTGTGTGGATCGAACTCATCCCGGCCTGAAAATTGCCAGACTTGGCTGACCATTTTGTCATTGCACGCGTGTTTGGCTTTCCTTCATTTTTGCTGCCTGGCTCAGTAGATTATTCTGCTGGGAAACCCCTGAGAAATCTGTAGGAGAATCTGACGCGTGTCCCTGGACCAAAAAATTGCAAATGATGGGGATTTCTCAGATTACATGGATTATCGGGGCGTGCCCCCCCCAATGTGAAGGAGTTTTTCTATTGCTTGTCACGCCTGTGATCGAAATCAATCAGGGGCTTGTCTCTCCGACGGTGGATGTCCCCGTATTTTGCAAGTGAGCCAACCACACTCAACCCCAAAACCGTTGTAAAGTACGGCAAATGTGGGTGTCCTTGTTCCGCTACTTGAAATGTTCATTCGCACTACCTAGAGTCTCCATGACCCTCAAACATTGGGTACCCAATTTGAGGCAACGACTCCATTTTCCCAGGGACATGGAGACTCCATCTGGGCACATTGCTACACATCACAAACCGATTCGGAATGCCCTAACTTCTTGGCGAACGCCTTCTTCCCCCTCGCACCTTGTTTGAACGGGACCCCTACAAGAAATCTGAACCTCAAAATATCACGAAGCCCAAGAAATCCGAAGGGCCATATACCAAAACCATTGTTTTCAGGGGGTTGCGAAAATGGAGACAATGTAGGAGGTGATGTAGGAGGTGATGTAGGAGGTGATGTAGGAGGTGATGTTTGAACCACCCGAAAAGGGGCAGAAGTGCTCAGAACCATGTGCTTGGCGCGTCTTTTCTTGGGTGAACGCCCTTTTGCTCGTGTCTGAAGGGAAACCAAAAGGACAACCGTTGCGCCAATCTGAGGGTCCCTTAAAACAACGAGCCAGCCATGTCAATCTCAACCAAGGCTTGAGCAAGCCGCACATCGCCGACGCGACCACGAGTCCCCAGCCACGTGAGCACGTCAAAGGGAATCTTCAGGTGTGGGCTCTGGAAGTATGGAGGTACTGTGGATGGACCAAATCCATTTCGCACCATCTAAGAAACCCTGGAATGGTGATTCCCCCCTGTAAATACCAACGAACATGGTTTCGCATGGCTTCAAAGTGGTGGGAACGGATTTTGTCCATCCACATGGAGGTTATACACCACTTGCATAAGGGGTATATACTGCCTTACGGGCTCATATTGGTGGTACATAGCATCCATACCTCCAAGACCAGTACCTGAAAATGCCCCATGGTTTGGGGTGGGGATTCTTTCGAGACATGTTGGCCATGCGGTAGCCACTATTCATGGCATATCCCTTGCCGCGCGCGCCGCGCGCACGTAGCCACACTCACACACACCGAGATTGCGCCGGGAGATGGGCAACGTAAGAAACTCGCGGTCTCAAAAGTTTTGGAGCCAAGAGGTAGACAGGTCTCACGGGGCAACAACCTCCTCCTTTTTCCTTAGGGGACTGCGGCCTGGTTCAAACCAATGTTTGCCCTCTGATACCAACACCAAAAGGAAACCCAATCAACTCCGTCAATATTCCAGTCAAAGGTGATCTTCAAACCGTTCACCGAGACCTACACGATGGATGCCCCAAATTTGGGGGACACCCCAAAAATTCCGCTCAAGCCAAGCCTTGTTTTTGGGGTGAGCATGGTGAGCGTGGCCCTCGCAAGACACGGCTGTGGCTGAAAAAAACCGGTACCAAAATAGAACCTTGGTAAGTGGAAACATGGACCAAAACCTGCGGTTTGCCCCTCCCATCGTTTAATTTTGAGCCACACCCACATTTCTGGAAGCCAAGGGGCAGCCCTTTATCCTGCTGCTCCGCCGCGTTGGTCATGTCGTCGGGGCTCGCCAGCTGCGTCCTGCGGGAAGAATTCGGGCGCTCGTGCCTTCCAAAGCCCAGAGCTGAATGGAGGGGTGGACAACTTGGAGCAAATGGAACTCATGGAAATCATGGCAATGGAACCAAGAAGTTGGCCAATTGTACATCCCCCTTGCAAAAAAAGACCTACAACTTGGAAAGCTAAAATAGTCCGCGTTGACAGCCATTTAGACCCAACATCAGCGGTCTCAATACCACCTGAGCAAAATCCATATAGCTAGGGCACAAAGGCATCCCTTCTGCCGATCTCCGTTCGACCGAACGTTCGAACTGGCAACCCCGAGGTTGCACGGGGTACGACTCCGTCCCTGGGCTTCGATTTCTCATTGCACCCAAAAGTTCCACTAGAACCATTCCAGACAAGGCAGACAAGGAATGGGTGGTGTGTGAGGGAAGAGACGACGATGCTTATAGAGGTTCTATAGTCGTTACAGTCCCTGTTCAACTAGGTAGACCCACCTAAAATGGCCTTTGGGGTTTTGGGCTCCCTTAGGCCCGGAGAATGGGGAGGGGTCAGAAAGGCTGAACAGGGAAAGCCGGTCGAACCTGGGAAGGCCTTCCACTCCGAGTCATGTCCGGCTGTGGGAAAGTGGATGCATACTCCACCAAAAACATATGTGTTTGCGTGTGTGCGTGTCTTGTTCGAGACCCATTTCCGCGGGTTGAAACCCAAAAGATAGCCACTGACCACCATTTCGGGGCCCGGTTCCCCCCCGATTTTGACACCTACCATCGGGGTCACCAGCGGCATGGGACCTGTTTTTTTCTGGAACCTGTCAGTCCTGGTCAACGCCATCTTCTTCTCAAGCATCCTCGATTTTCGTCGGATTCGCGGATCGTGTGAATGAAGCCTCTTGAAAGACCCGATTTGCCCAGAAATATTGGGTGCTGCAGATCCCCCAGCAAAAAGTGTTTTTGTGTTTTTATTTTTTGCAGGTTAGCAGGAAATATGAGGGAAATCCAAAAAGTCAAAGTCTAAAGATCCAACCCTATAGCAGTAGAGAAATGGGGCGAGGGCCACCTCTAGAAGTCACTTCCCGGATTGGCCCAAAGAAGTCACTTCCCGCATTTACCACTGAATCGGCGCTCCCGTTCGCAAAAAGAAAGTCCAAAAGAACCGGAGTCCAGGAGCTCCAGAAAAAAAGAAATGCTCGTCTGAGTACGGTTTGATGCCGAACCCCACGGAGGAGAGAAGTCGCCAACGGATGGAGATGGAACCCAAGAAGCTGGGCGCTGTTGCTGCCCAAAACATCAACCCTGGCAAGGAAAAACTCATGGGCCAACAGCTTAATGCTGAAAACCAACAAGGGAATGGGAATCCATCCCCATGGAAAGAACGGATCTTAGACCCCGTGGAATTCCATGGGAAGCAGAGGGCCCGCCCCTTTTTGCTAGTTTGAAAGGGAAACCGCATCTCACAAAAGACCAAGAGCACCACTCAGGGTCTGAGGGTCTGAACACGATGGCTTTAGAGAGGTTTGCCCTCAGATCTCCAGCACAAGCTGCTGCTCACTAGAACGCAGCATCTTGTCTCGCACTTCCTGCTAAAGGAAGCGCTCATTGTCACGACGAGGAGAGCGCCCACACAGCACCTTCCATTTGCTTAAGCCCCCTGGAAAAAAAAACAAAAAAACAACATGTCCAGTAGTGATAGATTCCCGCCAAAAAACCAACAGGGGGAGAAAAAAAAAAAAAAAACATCATTTCAGCCAATGGATGCCACCCATACTGCCCAAGATCCCCGAGCCAGTTCCCGGGACGAGGTCCAAAAACTTGGGGAAAGGCCAACCTCCCTTATGCAGGCCCATGGGCCCCCAATGGTCACCCAAAAGGCCACAGACTGTGGATGGACGCGAAATCCGCTTCTCGCACCACGAACGGAAACCAGGGTTGAAACCAGAAGGTCTGTTGGTATTTACGTTGGGGAAGCCAATCATTCTCTTGGGATTCTTAGGTGGTGCGGGATCAGTATGTTTCGGTCACGATGGCATAGTGGCTCTGAATCGGAGAAACAAAAAAAAGTTGCCAAGGACCCAAGAGTTCCAGGGTCCGTTTTCCAGCTGCCAGTCACAAAAATAATCGCATTGCACTTCAAAAACATGACATATGTTTGGAGAAGACCCCACAAACATTGGTCAGTGGCTTTTAACTCCCTCCCCCGCCACCAAACACCGCCCCCCCCCCCCTCCCCGCCGCGCAAAAAAATGCCACGCCCGCGCGCCCGCGCCTCTCCAGGCGCGCGATGTCCTCCGGCAGCCGTGCCCGGATAATGGGCACCGCCGCAGAAGTGCAGGGCAACACCATGCACTCCGCCACCGTGCAGCTCCTCACCTCGCCAAAACCGTCGATGTGGCGGAGGTGGCGGATCCGAAATGCGCGGAAGGCGAGGTAGGGGTCTTGTTAGGAGCATACATGTGTATCATATATACATATATATGTAATGCAATGCAATGCCATGTAGTGTAATTTAATTGTATTGCATTGCCATGTATTGCATGGCCATGTAATGTAAAGTATGTATGTGTTGTTGGGAAACGAGCTCCGCACTGATCTCCAAAAGGACGGCGATAAGGCACAGCTCTCAGAACTCGAAGGACTCCACAGCTTCAAACTGAACGACATCGAGATCTACACACATACTGTGGATGGTTGCGAAATCCATGCAACGCACCACCTAAGGAACCCAAGGGAATGATTGGCTTCCCCTGTAAGTACCAACTAACACTGGTTTCAACCATGGTTTCCAAGTGGTGCGAAATGGATTTCGTCCGTCCACAGTAGGGTTCAAAGAAACATAGGTTGAAAAGTTGAAACATAGGGTTCAAACCTAAATTGTGTTGATCAAACTTGGTTTACTTAATGACTCCGAGATTTGGCTCCAGATGCATGACATGGCACATAGTTGTTCAAGGGACAAATCAATGACACCTCTGACTGCCAACACCAAAAGACTGACTGCCCCGAGCAAACGGCTCCTGTGACCGCGGCGCATCCAATTTGCCCAGTTTGGACCTCTTGTTCTCCTTTTTGACAAGCTGCCATCCGCACACTCACGGATATGATGTTCAAGTGGTGCATCCCCCATTGAAATTCGCAGCCATACTGTGGATGGAAAGGGGATGATCAAAACCCTTTGAATGGTTGATAAACCACAAGAGACGAACCCCAACTTTTGCCCGCCCATGAATAAACGTCCCCATGAGGAAACGTCCTCGTGGATAAACGCCCCCATGAGTAGTGGGTGTCCCATGGAAGAAACAGGATAAGGCACCGCTCAAAGGTTCCAAAGATCCCTTCAGGAAGCCACAGAACCTGACCGATTGCCCGGAAGGCATCTGTACGGAAAATTTCCTTTGGGCCAAAAAGGGAAGGCATCTCAAACTGGCCTCCCCCCCCAACCACCTCTTGTTTTCCGGAAAAGGAAAAACTACACGCCGATCCACGCTTTCAGGGGGCGTTTTTCATGGAGCTCGAACCCCCGATTCCAACTCCACCCACCCCCAATCTTCCAGTTGCTCAAGCCCCCTGGAAAAAAAGACACATATCTATCTCCAGTAGTGATCGATTCCCTCTTAAAACCAACACGGGAAAATAACAAAAAACAGTCTTAAACAAACGGACGCGTTTTCAGGGGGCGTTTTTGCATGGAGCTCGCCCCCCCAATTCCCACTCTACAAAGCCCCCAATTCCACCATCCCAACCTCCGCTTCCCTCCAAGCGTCGGTGGCCGCGGAGGGCGTGCCGGGCTCCAGGATGCCGCGCTCCCCGAAGATCGCCGGGGCCACCACGTTGGCGATGTGCACCCCGCTGACCTCCCGGGACTTTCCGGGCGAGGCCGAGCGGCCGAGCGGGGCGGACGGCTCGAGCGGGGCGGCTGGAGCGGGGCAGTTTCGAGGGGTAGCTTCCAATTTCCCCATTCGGCGAAGAAGCTGCACCCGGGCGGGCCAGGCGGTGTCCCTTGCTCCAGGGGTACCTTCCAATTCCATTCTGAACCCAGGCATCCTTCTTTTTCTAAAAAAAAACACCCAAAAGCCTGGGGAAACAGCGATCGGTTTTTGAAAATAACGATGGTTGAAAATAGTTGAAAAGAATGGGGAGTCAACCCCTAGACAGCTCTCGACTCTGGGGATGTGGACGGGGATGTGGACGGGGTTTCGCAGATCTCTCTACGTGTCAGTCACTTCAAAGGGATGGGGGGGGGGGGGGATCTCCTCAAAAACATAGACCTTGGTGAAGTCTGATAATTCGCCATATTCTAGCCCATCCCGAACTATCCAAACTATGTGGCATCTTGGCATCTCACCAACCACTGGCACCTTGGGCGAATCCAGTCACAATCCAAACCCTGTGGTTTTTTTTCAGCCCAAGTCTAGGGGAGGTGACCAGAAGGTTCCCCAAACCCTGACTTCGTGGCTCCTCGCTTTGGGCTGCTAAGACCTAGCGGGAGATGGGAGATGCCAGAAAAATCTGCCGAGCCAGATCCCAGGTTGGAAAAACCCCCACTTGAATGCAGTTGCTTCGCTTCGTGATTCGTGGATCCCCAAAAGACAAACTCTCAGCAAGTACTTGTTTTTGGTGGGACATGTCGCTTGGCCCACTTGGGGGGCTGAGACAATATGCTCAGATTCTGCTTCATATCTAGACCCCGCTAGAACCAAAATAACATTGGAGGAAACCCATGGCCGTACATACTCAAACCCGCCGTGTTGACGTCCAGTTTACCTGTTGGTTTACGGGCACAAAAAAACGGGCTGGGGAGGGCGATCGAAAAACCTGTCCCCAACAAGGTCGTCTTAGTGTCTAGAAAGCGACCGATCAACTCATTCAGGTGTGACCCTTTTGAAGATGGTCTCAAATCCCGACTACTGAAAAAATATGACCGTCCCTGTGAATCCCAAGCACTACTGGGGATGGACCAAATCCTGCACCAGTTGGCAAACACATAGCTTCTCCCAGCATTTATACAGGTTCATCCAACCGAGCTTTGACCATAGTACCTGAAAGAGGGTCGACATGAGTTTCACCCCCGTTTGGCCATGGAACATAGACTTTTCTGAAAACATGCGATTCCCAGCCCCATAGCTTCATCACTTGGCGATGGGTGATTGAACATTTAGCCAAAATGGCATCCTGCTACGTGGACACGAGAAGAACAAAACCTGCTGTCCCGCTCCTGGTTTAGATTTCGATCCATATCCTACAGGGGATTCCCTTATCAGAACATGGCAACCTCAAAGCCAATTGTTCCCACGGACCTACCCAAGCGCCCAGATCCGGTCCCTCGCCCCTGCACCCGGCCTCAACCTCCACCATGCCGTGAAGGAGCACCGTGAGAAAGCTCTCCTGACAGGGCCCAGGAGGCGGGAAGTTCCTGGGAGGTTTCGGCTTGGTTGCTGATGCTGCAACGACCCCCCTGCAAAAAGTTGATATCACTTGTTGGGGGTTTAGTGGAAAACCCAACCCAAAAGTTAAAGTCTAAAGATCCGTTGCCCAATAGCAGTCAAGTTGGGGAGTCGCTGGGGTTCCTAGACATTTCTAGGGGGGGGGTTGGGCTTCGGGTTGTTCTCCTTTTTTTCCCCTAGCGCTACACTCGGACATGACTCAAAATGGTTCAACATGATCAGATGTCGCCTGGAAAAAGGCGAGAATGGCGCAACTTGCCGGTCCCAGGGTGCGATAGAAAAAGCCTCAGAGACGTTGAGACAAAATGAGCCACCCTTTTCGTCCCGAACCCAAATAGAGGTGAAGGTTTTGGTGGGACTGTGGTCTTTGTTGTTTTTGCAGTCCTTGCCCTCATGCAGGATGGTCTGCTTGGGCAAGAAGGGATGCTCGTGCATGTTGTCCAACAGAATCTGCAGGAACTGCGTGCTGAAGCTGCCTTCGCCTCAGAGCTTTGTGTCTCGATCCAACCAGGAGGGCATCAAAAGAACCATGTTTCGTCATTTCCCTTTGAAGGCAACACCCCACCCCATCCAAAAAAACCGAAAAGCTGGACAAAACAAGACGTCCAAAGGACCAAGGATAAAGAGAAGTAGATGCTTGATATTCATGGGTTTTCTTCGAGCAAGCGCGGTTCGGGAGCGAAAACCCATGGGCCCCATGAAGGTCCGAAAACCTGAAAGTCCAATTCCTGTTTCGGGTTTGGGACTTCTGGCATCGGATGCATCGGATGGATCCCGCGCTTTTTGGTGGGATATGACTCACAGAGAATGCTGTGGGAGGCTCAAGCTGGGTCCGCCCAACACTCTTCATGAAACAGGTGGTTGTGGCTCAAAATCACAGAGCTAGGGTTACACAGGTTTGAGTCTTTGGTTCCATTTACCCTTTGGTCTCCATGTCTTTGACCCACAGCCGGGTGAGTTATTTTTGTTTGGTGAAGCGAGTAGAGTTGTGCCAGGCCGCAAAAGCGGCCAAGGACGGGAGCCCGGAGCCCGGCCAAACGGTGGGCGAGTCGTCATGTCCAAACTATGGGTCTGTCACTTCGTGTAGGTGTTCAAAAGCAAACCCCAAACCAACTCAGGAAAAGACATGACCAAATCTGGTGGCAAATGCGATTTCATTCCCAAACCAGAAATAAGTTCAGGGAAGACCCTTCATGGGTCGCTCCTGACAAACCTCCACCGTTGCCAGTTGCCCTCTTGGGCAACCACTCAGCGACCCAAAAAATCTGAGGAGGAGCTTCTCGGAAGGTGATCCGTCTGCAACCCACGAGCAATATGCCCAAAGCGTACCACAAGGAGTATGCAAAGGGCGTCGCCGCAAGGACTGCAGACGTGTTCCCAGGGAGTGTCTCCAAGCTCCGTGGTTGGTTGATCTGCAGGTTGAACCTGTGGGATATGGTCATAAATCCCTCTCCAACAGTCCGAAGCTCTGACAGTCTCAAAAGTCCGAAACCCCAAAAAGTCCGATCAAGTCCCAAGATTCCCAAGTCCAACACAACTCCAAGAATCGAACAAACTCTCAGGAAGCTCATAGCTGCGAAGCCTGTTCATCCCTTGGGCGTGACGCGAAGCCACGCTTGCCGCTAAGGGCGCTCTGGCCGGCGCGCTGCAGCGCGGAGGCGGTGGCCTGCCGGCTCTGGCTGTGCGCCTCGATCATCTCCCGCACCCGGTCCTCGCCGATCGAATCGCTTCGAATCGGTTCGGTTCGGTGCGTGTGGGCGGTTTCCCCCAGTTCAGCTGAGTGGTTTTGCAGGCGCGGCTTGGAGGTGTTCCGGTATCTCCAATCTATCACAGGGGTCTATCACAGGAAATATGGTTCTTCTTTTTTTCCAGGGGGCTGAAGCAAATGGAAGTGCCAATCAGCTTCCCTCCAATTTATGCTCGGGTGCTCCCCTGGTTGTCTTGCTTGGCGCGGCCCCTTTCTGGGCCATTTCTGGCAGCAAGGGGAACATGGTCAGCACCCGAAGTTGGCTCGCAGTGGCTTGGAGGTGTCCGGGCTTGGGGAACCCCATCTACCCTCTACAAGAACCAGTGCAAATCTCTCCGAACCAATTCGAGCGGAACCTGGTTTGTGGTGCAAGTACACCAACCACGCGCAGCATGGGTGAAATCTGGTGGCAAAGGGAGCTGTCAGCTTCTTCCCTTTCTTGCAATACGGGGTGATATGGGGCACACCTTCTTGGCGTTCCGCGGTGTGTTTCCATCGGTCGTGGTGTTCCAATGCATTGTCTGTGAGACTTTTTCAGACTCCACGCCGATCGGCGTCAGTCCTGCAGTTGAGCGACCAGTAGTCTCATTGTTCACAGGGCTTCATTCAGTGAACTTGGTCCGTCCACGGTATTGCAAGTACCAGGCGAAGTTTGACTTTTAGCGGGTTCAATGGAAACCCCCATTCAACCCCGAAAACCGAAAACCCCTTAGGGGACGGCTGGAAACCGCCAAGAGTAGGGTCTTTTTTTGGAGAAGCCTGAAAACACCCGGCAATTTACAGTGCAAACCGAAACCGGCGAAGCCCGCAACTCTCCAGGGCCCCAGAGCCTCCGTTTCGCCAATCCGATTGATCGGAGCCCTGCATCTTAATCAAGCCCCCTGGTTTAAATAAAGCAAAATCTAGTGATAGAGATCCCCACACGAAAAACCGCGTGGCTGATACAAAGAGCCACGCTCTTCAGCACATGGGCTGGCATCTGTCCTTGTCCCCTGGGTACTGGGACAAGGCTTCCAGCAGCGAGCTGCGCGACAGCATCCGCAAGTCGCAGACGCAGTCTGCCTTGATGGTGGCAGTGCGCCGGCCTCCGATGACGCGAAGGAGAAGGGACGTCGGACATGTGGACACCTCGCGCTTGGGGGTTGCACAAAGGAAAGCCCAAGACTTGGTTGACGTTGGAAGGGAGCAAAAAAATGATTCTTAGCAGTTAAGTGGGGATTTCCCACTAAACCACAATAAGCAGAAATGTAAAATGTTTCCCAACAACAACCATGAAGAAGGGGTGGAACCCGAAAGTGGAAACCCCTTTGGGTGTTGCCCAGGCATGGAAGACTCGCTTCGTGTGCTTCCGAGCAAAGTCTGAACTGTGTGCTTCCCAAACTGGCCTTCCCAAAAAGTATGGTAAGCCCAGAATCTCAAGTGGGTTGTGCCCTTCGGCCGTACGCGCCGGCGATCAGTCTGCCCAGTACTGACTCAAATGACTTAACAAGTTCAAAGTGCAAAGCTGGCCAACCCAGGCCTGGGATCCTCAGGAAATTGGGATCAAACAGCTGGGACAACAGGTGGTTCCATGGGTGAAGAGTTGACCCTGCAAAAAGTTGTTCACTTCTTGGGGGGGTTTAGTGGAAACCCCCTTGATTTCCCCAAAAAATTGAAGTCTAAAGATCCAACCCAATAGCAGTCAAGGTTTCATGGGTGAAGAGTTGGAATCGATCCGCTTGCCCTTCAGGGCGGCCCTTCAGAAGGTACAACACAGGGCCCGCCCCCCCCCATCCCCCTCCCCCCAGGGTGACCTACAGCCCTCCCGGAAAAAAGCAAAAACATGAGGGGGCCCGTGGGGGACAGGTGTTCCTTGGGGAGGGTTGGAGCCTGGACGACCACCCTGATTGGTACAGGGTTCATATTTCCAGTTTATAAGGCCTTTTGCACTTCCATGTTGGTGGGAGGGTGCATTTAATTCCACTTGGGGGACTCATTCGCTGGACATGCTAACCGCTTGCTAAGTCCCAAATTAGACCATTGGGAGCCGCCATGGATTGCCACATGTTGAGCTGAAGTGGGAGTTGCACTCCATATGGGTATGGCTCAAAAAACTGGTACCAATGCGTAACCCCTCCTGTTGAATTTTGAGCCATACCCATACAACCCCTAGGGTCCATGACAGACTCCTAAAGATGAGATTGGATGAAAGCGAGTGAATGGGCAGTATGGCCTTCTGTTGGTATTCTTCTAAGATGTAAACGGGTGGAAGGGAAGCAAGGGCTGGTCACTAAAAATCCGCTCTGGTCAAGGTCAGGACGCTGAAAAAAACATTGTTGTTATTGATCCTCTTCTAACGGTTGACTCTCCTTCCGATAGGATCTTCTCCAACAGCAAAGACTTCAAAGGTTGGCAAAAGATGGAAGGATAAATACTGTGGATGGGCGCAATCCATTCAGAAGGAAACCAGGGTTGGCACAATAAGGTTTGTTGGTGGAAGCATCATTCCAGGGTTTCTTAGGTGGTGCAGGATTTTGTCCATCCACAGTAGGATGGTGAAAGGGAAAGAGATTGATGATCCTCTTTCATGTCCGTTCATTCTCCTCTCTCATTATCTGTTTCTTGGCAGAGATAGAGAGAGTCACTTCGGCTTCCCACATTTCCATTTGGAAGATCCCCCCCCCGGCCCCAAAAAAAAGACACGTGCAGGGGATGTTCAAAAAAACACACATGTCCATGAGCCTCCATAAGCCTCGCGTTGCTTCCAGGCGGCTCTGCTTCCATCGGATACATCCACTGGAAGAAATGACGAAAACGTCATGTCCAGCAGCGAACCACGATGCCCATCCTTCTGCCAATGTCCCGTTGAAAAACAAGTTCTTTTTCAGGCCTACACCCCGCGGGAAAAACCTCAAGAAGTCTTTTATGGTCTGTGAAACTTCCTCCAACATGTTTGGGCGGGTTGTCCTCTTATTTGACCCCAACTTCAAAAAAACCGGGGTCTGTCTTTTCCAAGCTTTTTGAAGCAAGACATAAGTTTGTCTTGGGAAACAAATAAGTCTGGTCTTTTTTGGGAAACCAAAAAAAATCCGGTGTCTATCTTTTTCTTTGTGGATCCCCTCAAATTGGCCAGTTGTCCTCTTATTGGTTTCCCTTCTTTACCTCAAAACCCACGGGACAAAACCTCGCCCAGGACGAAGCCCATGGAAGTTCACGCTGAGGCGCGGGTGATGTTCAGCACCGCCAGGCCGCCGAAACAGCTCCCAGGATGGAGATGGCTTAAGGGCTCCTGGAGAAAAATAACGGGCGCAGTCTCGCTGCCGTAAGAGCCTCGAACAACCCGAGGAAAAACGTGGGATGTGATTGAAGCGTGTAAGAAATCAATAACAGCAACAACAAGAATCAGCTGCCCTCAAAACTGGTGGTTTGGAGCTTTGCCCTCCACAAGATCCGGGGGTTGAAGTCCCACAAACCAATCCAAACCAACAATTGCGGGATACCGAGCTTAAACACCGAAGATAGCTTATAGGGAAGGACGCCACTCAGGCGTCGTGCGTTTGTGAAGGTAAAACGGACAAAAACAGAGGGAAAACAGCTCATTTGCCAAACCGCACACGTTTCTGTGTCACAGACCCGACTTCAGCGCCATAACCCTTGCCAAGGGCTGAACTCGTCTTTCTTCTGAGATTGCCTCCAATAGCAACTAGGATCACGAACGTTACTACCCCTGCCCCCCCCTCCCCCCCTCCCCACCGAACAACGTGATGCCTTGCATCTCGTCAACATCGAACGTTTCTACCCCTCCCACGCTCCCCCTCTCCCCCCCAAATGACGTACGTCATTCCTGGCATCTCGTCAACATCAAACGTTACTACCCCTCCCCCCAAACGACGTACGTGATGCCTTGCATCTCGTCAACATCGAACGTTACTACCCCTGCTCCCCCTCCCCCCCAAACAACGCATGTGATGCCTTGCATCTCGTCAACATCGAACGTTACTACCCCTCCACCCCCCCCCCTCTCCCCCAAACAGCATACATGATGAGTGGCATCTCGTCAACATCGAACGTTACTACCCCTCCCCCCCCCCCTCCCCCCCCCCCCCCCCCAAACTACGTGCATGATGCCTAGCGTTTCGTCAACATGCAACGAAGCTGGGTTTGCTGGCAGGGACACGACGCCCTCGTGGCGTGCCCACCTTAAATTACTGGTAAACCACAACAATAACAAGAACAATAATATCAAACAATACATGCACAAATAAGTAAACAAATATGTGTATATACTCTTTCTACATGCATAAATTGAGACATGAATAGTAACAATAACAATAAACCATGATAATAACAATAATAATGATCATAAACAGACTGATAATAATGACTGTGTTTAATGATCATGATGATAATGATAGTGTCACAATGATTTAAAAAAAAATACTCATCCACGAAATGCTTCTGAACACAGTATACTAATAGTGCCGATACTGAGAACAAAGACAATAACAACACGGGTGCAGCTTGTCATTGTCAAGGGTCATCTCAGGATGCAGGTACTAAACTGGCCACGATCCTGTTCTTTCCCGCGACGGTTCAGAACGGTGCCATCCTGCTTAGAAAACACAACGTCCCGTTAAAAAAATAAAATACAATGTTGTTTAATTATTGTTTTTTTTTTTTTTTTTCTTTTTAAAGAACAAAGAACAAAGTGCACCTAAGATGCAAAGAACACACTGCGCATAAGGGTAACAGAACACTTGGCCAACAGCACCTTCTCGTTTTCGCGGCTCGTGGTAAAATATGCGCAACATCCCATATTGGACTTGGGAAAAATGTAGGAGTCCTGCTGGTTGTGATAGGCAACTTTGTGAGCTTCCCCCGTCCCTCCCATGTGAAACATAAGTAGTGATGTGATTTGGAAGTAGTTGATTCGCATTGCTGTGACTACCCCGGTTCTCACAGAAAGTGGCCTACTTTGACACACACACACACACCCATGTGAGGCTTCACACTTTTCATGACCCTGCTCGCATCTCCACCTTTTGACTCTTTGGACATGACTGTTTCACCACTAACATCTGGTAGGCTAAAAGCGTCTCATAGCGCCCGATAAGGTCCATTGGGTGGGCCCCTTGTTGGGAGGCTCCACTGTTGGGGGGGCCTTGACAAGCATAGCATAGAACAATATAACAACTGTAATTTGTCTACGGTCCCATTTGGCACAGTGGTTGAACTAGGCTGTTGGTGGAAAGACCCCTCACTCGTCCTTTAGAGACCCAAACGCAAAAGGCTTACCATCTTGGTACCCAAAAATTGGACAATGGAAAATCCAAAATTTAACATTTTGGTACCTAAAAGTGGACAAGGGAAAATCCAAAAGGCTCAACGGCCCCTTCGCTTTGGTCGCAACTGAGTGCAGCAACTCACGCTGCCCCTCCGAGTTGTAGCCGCGGAAGACGCTGCATTTGCCCACGCAGAGCCTCGAGGGACTGCGCCCGGCTGACAGCGGTCCCACACTCCAGATTCACATGGAATCATTCTTAGAGAACCTCTTTTTGGAGAGTCACGTTTATTTTGCCTGTTTCATGTGAGGAAAAGCCAAAAAGAAACACGGAGAAAACAAAAAAAAACAAGTACATTTACCAGAAGGCATCACGGGTGCTTTGAAGTGAAACTCATGGGTCAAACTGGTAATGTTTAGAACCACCCTTGAAAGGGACATGTAGGGAGGTCTGGTTGTGCTGGGTAAAGCATAAGAACCCCGCCCCCAGAACTGACTGGCTGCCTCACAGAAATACCTCTGCATGCTTGCTGAGTCGTGCCTATTGAATTTCAAGGCCAGTGGTCTTCCCGTCTTCCAATGCCATCTTCCCGTCCGATCAACTAGCAGTTCGCCGTTTCAGGATCCGACTATATTCAGCTTCTCTCGAGGGTGGGATTTACCCCATTTGCCCTCTACAAGATCCAGGGGTTGGAATCAAAATCCCGTTCCAACCAATCCTAACCACCAAGTAGGGCGATGGGGTGCCAAACCCGCCTTTTTGGACCCATCCTTTTCAGAGGGTCCAACCAGAAACCCCTGGTGACAAGCAGCCATTTTGGAGGTGTGGAAATCGGGGGCTCTCCCCCAACGGATTTCAAGCTCTTCCTTGTGGTTTCCTGTTTTAACGAAACTGAGAAGTACAAAGTCCACAACACAATTTCACTTGCTAAATATGATGGCCTCTCAGTTGTTCAGTGACCCTGCAAAAACAAAGGGAACCCTTTTTGGGGAAGACCATTCTTAGTGGGGGCAGCCACCAAAAAAAAAGGGAAAAAGACTTGGTGCCACTGAACAACTGAGGCCTTCGTGGGTACAAATCGGACCCGGCAGCTTCGGAGAATTTGTTTCCCGACAGCTTTAAGGGGGTCTGCCAGTAAACCAGACCTCAACTTCAAAACCCGCGCCCCACTGAAAATGAACAAATCGATTCTGGACACCATAGGCAGTGGACCTCAATTCTGGGCTCTTCAAAATGGGAGTAACCCATGGGCCTTCACCTGAACTCTTGAAAATGGGAGTAATCCAGCAGCACTTCACCAAAAACGCATTGCCATCCGGAACCGATTGTCCGTCACTTTAGTGGATCTCGCAGCATGGAATTTCAAATGCGTCCAAGAGGGGCTTCCGATCCCTCATGCCGGGGGTTTGCAGAGTTCCATACTAACTTACATGCCCAGTGGCCAGGGGAGAAAAAGTGCATCCCTTTTCTTGGTTGGCTGAGTTTAAAGGGAACCCTTCCCAATAAAAAAGGAAAAAAGGGCATCACTGGGCAACTGGGCTAATCAGGAGAATAACCTGTGTCCGTTTAAATGGCATCCTCAATTCTTAGACTCCAAATGGTGGGTGAAAGGAAATTTACTCACCAGGGTGAGTGAAAGGGAAACCACACTCTCAAAAGTAGTGGGGAAATCTCAGCCAAGATTTGTCCCGTCGAAGTTTCCGCAGGAGCATCTTTTGGCATCTTGCATGTTGTGTCCGTAACTGAAACTGGTTGAAGCTTGAGGGAAACCCCAGGTACTGAGGCTCGACTTGAACATCAACTCCTCGAATTGCGCTTGCTTTTTTTGGCCTTTGAGCTACGTGTTTGAGGCAGATTGCAGATAGTAGCAATTTCAGGCTCCCGCTTTCAAGTGGGTAGTCCGATAAGAGGAAGCGTGGCTGAAAGTCGTCTCAAAGTGGTCAGGGTTTGAGAAAACTTTTGTAGGGAGTTGAACGGACTCCGGGTGTTTGTGCCTCCTCTTTGCTTTCTTCGTGACCATTCAAACAGAACTCATGGCTCTGTTTCAGACAAGAAAATGTTGGTTTGTCTCTAAACGAGAGAAGCCCATGAACTGAGCTTTCGCTTTTGTTGCCCGGAACACATCCCAATCGAGTACCCATGCCTCAAACTGACAACCAGTGTTCTGCTTTGGGACACACTCCGAACTCCGAACCCCGGGCTGAATGAAAGTCGCTGGAGTCATCTGACAAAAGACGTCACTCGACAGGGAAACTCAAGGCTGGCAAGCCAAAGGTGGGTTTCAAACTGGAAAAGGAGTACCTTCATCCTTCAGTGAATTCGGTCTCACTACTCCCCATACCCTCTGTTTGCTTGGGTATGATGTCAACCCCTGCCCCAAACATGCATTTACCATGGAAAACCCTGGATTTTCTAAACACACGCAACACAACTTTTGTGTGTTGCTGTTGGCTGGACCCCTCGAAAAAGCCAAGTGAAAGATCGAGCAAAACACCTATCCATTTGGAGTCCGCGGCACACGTACATCTCATCTCCGGTGTCGCCCTCCTGCATCACTAGCTCATCCCGGCAGTAGACCTTCTGCCTTTCGGATCGATCGCGGCGAAAGGCGAAACCGAAAGTCAGAGTCGAGCACTGTTTCAAAGTGAACATGCCTAGATAGCCAAGTTGCGATCGTTTTTTTCAGTCACTGGTGCTGGTTTTGGGGGTGCATGGGAAAAAAAAACACAGCAACTGGCGATCCAGGTGTCCTTGAAAGAATTCGTTAAAGCCCCCTGGCTGACTTAGCAGCCCCATTTCCAGAGGGCTGAGAAAGCACGAAGCGAACTGACTCGATTCCATTCTAAAACCTCTTGCTGCCAAGGTGCTCCATCAGATTGCCTCAGCTAGCCGTGGGCAAAAGGAAAAACCCTGGCTGGCTGGCGCTGGCTGGCTTAGGCCCGCTTTCAGTGAGCCACTTCCAGGCCCCTTTCCAAGGTCCACTTGAGCCAGCGAGCAAAAAATGCGCATGGTCTTCGGAAGAACTTGGCTCAGGGGTCACGGGAGTGCCCCTTCAAAAGGTGGAGCAATTTACAGGTAGGTTCCATTTGAATTGATGGAACTCCCACTTTTGGAGGTTCCAAACGACATGGAGGAAACACTGCTTGTTCTCAAGTTTGAGTCAAAGACAAAGGCTCTGCCGAGTGCTTTGGTCGCGTTGGCCACACGGGTCAGTGACGGCTGGGCCTGTCATCTAAACTTGACCCAGGATATGAGTGTGGCTAAGGGGTACATGCAAAATGGGGTGGGCACATGATCGATGGACGAAGAACAAGGAAAACAAGAAGAATCCTGACTTGTTTGCCCCACTTGCAAATTGCTGAGTCTTAGTGTCTTAGTGGTTCGTTGGTCCCTTGAAAGTTCAGCCAATATGAGGCAGTCCCCAAATTTTATGGAATTGAGTTCTCTTGGCTGCCCTTTGAAGCCCAAAAAATAGGTCCCTCCCCCCCTCCCCCAGATCCTTAAAAAAATAAAAATAACACGACGCTGCCACATGTCACGAGTCGGGTACGAAGCGCCGAGTTCCCACCGCGCGTTTCCCCTCAGGACGGAAAGTTCGCATTCGCCCGGGTTGTGGTTGGAAGTTCGTGAGTCCCCCAAGTCCCTTCCCATTTCACATGTGGCTGTGGCTCAAAAAACCGGTACCAAAATGGAACCCTGGTAAGTGGAAACATGGACCAAAACCTGCGTAACCCCTCCTGTTTAATTTTGAGCCACACCCATGTCATGAGTTCGGGTCCGAAGCGCCGAGTTGCCGGACGGAAAGTTAGAATTCGTCGCCCGGGTCTTTGTGCCCAGGTCCCTGCACATTTTGAACCAGAGATAGATCAGTTGAAAGTGTGCAGCCAAACTTAAGACCTGATGAAAGGTGGGAAAAGCCTCCTTTCCCCTTTTCGGTGTCCGTTGCCCGAATCTTGCGACCTCATGTTAAAGGCCTTGAGGTCCAAGTCCCCCTTTGTGATGCTTGGGTGAGATACCCTTCCTCTCACTAACATACCACCTGTGGGGGTGCTAAATGATCAGTTTCCTCTTAAAGGAAGCCCCGGCCCCCCTGTCAGGCGCCATGGCAACGTGGGAAGGAGGGCATTGATCCATACCTGGGTGCCAGTCCTGTTGCTTAGCAGACGCTTCCCCCATACTGTGGATGGTTGCGAAATCCGTTTCGCACCACATTGAAACCAAAAAGAAAAACAATGTTATTTTTGTTTTTCTCCGTGGGAATCGAATCATTCCCTTGGGTTCTCAGGAATCATCAGAAACTAGGGTTCTCAAGTGGTGCGTTGCCCCATTCGCCCCATTCCCTGCAGGCCGGGCAAGTCAACTCCTCGACTCGGACTCGCGTAAAATCCGAGCTGCGGATCAGCCGGGTGAACTCGGCGCTGCAGTTCTCAAACATGTTGATCTCACCTCGGTGAAGGAGTCGAAGGTTCAAGCCCGGTTTATTCATATGGGGGTGTCCCTGGGTTTAGTGGATCATCACTTTTGGAGGGGAACACCATTCATGGTTTCTTAACTGGTTAGAATGAGGGTACCAGATTTTTTTCTGTAGTCTGCTTTAGTAGGGCAACCCTCCCCCCCAATTAGGGCAAAAGGGCACTACTGAGGGACCTAGTTAATAGGGCCCCCATTAGTAAACTGGGGTTGATTAATATGGGGTCAACATTATTGATCAGTTCACGAATCCATTGCGCAGAGAGCGGTCGGCGAGTGTTCCGGGAAAGATCGAGCTGACGGGATGACCGGGGAATCCACAACAAAGCAGGATGCATGATACTGTGGATGGACGAAATCCTGCACCACTTTGAAACCATGGGTAACCATGGTTTGTTGGTATTTGCAGGAGAATCATCATTCCAGGGTTTATTGGGTGGTGCAGGATTTTGTCCATCCACAGTAGCAAAGGCCCTCCCACACGCCTGGGTTGGTTCTGAAATAAGCCTGGCTTCCAACTCATTGAGACCGAAGATATCAGCCACCGTGTCCAAGAAGCCAGTGTATGTTGTTCAACGGCGGTTTTTTGAGGGTGCTTCAAATGGACACCCAAGAAAGGACAGATGGTCCAGCCTCCGCTCAAGCCTGAGCCCGCTGCGCTCGGAAGGCCCCTCGTGTCCTTTGGGCTTTTCCAGGGGCCCGAAATCCCACCTAGAGAACCCCCCCATTCAACCACTGACTTGAAAGCATAACACCCACGTGTACTTGCCCCAGTGGTCCAGTTGTACCCATTCCTCTTGTGATTGGCAAGGTGTCCAACTCAAGTTGTCGATCCCAAGGGCTCTCTTTTTCGACCCAGGGTGGGCTGGTTGAAGCCTTAGAGTATCACCTACGGGTCAAAATGGGGGCCGGTGCCCAAGGAAACCAGTCTTGCACTGAGAAGAAAGCTGCAAGGTGAGCGTCCAAACAACAGGGGGCTGTGTATCTGTATCTTTTAGTATTCGGATCCCCCATACTGGCAATCCGGTTTTGCTTTTGGTGTCCCGTTAAAACCGCCGAACAAGGGGGACCCCCCCAAACATCCTCTCCCTAAAGTGCCGTCCATTCGCCTTGGCCTCCGTGCGTCTCTCTCATTTTTTTGCCCAGGCGCTGACGCGGTCCGTGAAGGGATACAGCAGCTGCAGATGTTTCATCGCCACTTTATCCTAAGATCTCAGGAAAAACAAGCGCCGAAAAAGTGACTGCAGTCTGGGGGGTGCGTCAATATATATATATATATATATATGTGGGGTTTGAATTTGAATTGGGGACCTGAAATGGTGGACATCATTTAGTCCACCAACCGTTTTTGAGGGGTTCCCCATTGAAATTCATTGCCGTATGCATATATGCTATGCGGACGCCCCAAGAAATGGCACAAGGTGAAGAGGGTACCTTCAACACCAAAAAAACAAATTAATATATACACACACACACACACCGTATAGTAGGCAACCAAAGGGACCAACCTTTGAACACGAAGGGAACGTGGCCCGGGAGATATCATGAAGCCCTCTAAACTCTGAACATCTGAAAGTTCAAGATATGGAAGTGGGTCACGCATTGGATAGGGTTCCCTTGACAAGAAAGCCTTCTGGGGGCCAATAGCTACGGAGGGTTGTTCGCATATCTGGGCAAAGAGGGCGATGTATCCAAAACTGTAGCCGACTCATGAGGGGAGCCATTGCAACCTGTCAGCTTGACCAAACTTAGACTGCCCAAAGTGGAACACCACGAAATTTGTTGCTAAAGAAAACATGCTGGAAACCCACAAAGGCAAAATGTCTTCAAACGGAAAGTGACGTTCTTCAATGTGTGTTAGTCACTTGTTCTTCGCGACCATTAACAACCAGTAGGGAACATGATGAGCCACATCCCTCCCCTGGCTCCCGCAGTCAGCTCTGAATCAGTACCATGACCACCTAAATCAATCAACCTGGTGGACCATTCGAATTCCCCAAAGAGAAGGATCTCCTCAATGAGACACTCCCTTCTTCAAGCAGGGGACCCATTACTCCTGGGCCCTATAGGCATGTCTTGAAATAGGGGGCACCCAGTTTTTTGGCTCCTTTTCGTTTCCCTTGAAACCAACTCAAACAAAGGTACCAACAAAAAAACAAAAAACATGCAGTGCGACGCTCTCCCTCCAAATCCCAAGCACCACCCTTCAGCAACCAAGCGGCGAAAAAGCTGCACCTGGGCGAGCTTTTGGGCAGGCCAGGTGTCCCTTGTGGGTCGCCTTGTGATTGGTGGCTTTAAAGGGACACCAAGAGGCGAAAGGGAAACCGCCCTTTTAAGGGGGCAGGTCCTACTCTGAAACAGGCCCATCTTTCTTGGGAGGGAGCCTCTTTGCTAAGCCTTTGGGGGCCTGGCTCTGGCCGGCTTCAGTCGTCCGGATTTCACCAAGTCATTCCAAGGTGGGCGAAATGGTCAAAAAAACCTGGCTCTGAGAATTGGACGAACGAATCTAATTGGTGGTGAGCCCAGTGGCTTGGAAACCACATTTACCCTTTGTAAGACCCAGGGTTCAAATCCCAAAACCAATCATAGAAGTGAACAGGCAAATTGGAAAGGGGGTAAGCTCGGTGCAAAACCCAGTAGAAACCGATCCCCCAAAGAGAACAGCTCAAAAGACATATCCCTTATATGTGCGGACATCGAAACTCCGTGTTAGAAATCATTACCCTCCCTCCAACTAACATGGCAACTGACAGGGGCTCCCTTCAAAAGGAAATGTCTCTTCCGGGTAATGTTGACCCCGGAGTAATAAAAACCCCTGGTGCTTTTTATTGGGGGGTGCTTTTCCCCGGTTTCAGTAAGGATTCAGACCACTTTTGGAGGGGAAAACACCCCCATATGAATAAACAGGGTTTTTTATTCATCCGGGTCAACATTACCTCCCCCCCAGGCGCCACTCGTTGGAAGGGTCAACCGCTCGATCCATGACCATCCCCTGGCGACCTCCACGGATTCTGCGGATTCTGCGGGGCCAAGAGATCCGGCCACGAAACAAAAACGGCTGGCCTTGTTGGGGCCAGTTCGCAGGGAGAAACCGTTTTGTTCTTGCATTATTGTTTATGTGCTGATTTAGAGGATTGTCGGGTCAATCAAGCGGTCTTATTGAAACCAAGAGTTTATTGTGGATTCAAAGGGCTAAGCAATGTTTGGAGCGAGCTCCAACTAGAAGGGAAAATAGGGGTTGTATCATAATGACCCACTTTCTAGCCGGTGCCCAAAACGCCATGCGCGCGTCAAAGTAGGGGACCCCGCAAAAAAGGTCGGCCTCCTGTTGGTTTCATTTTGAATCAAATCCAAAAAAGGTACCCTCAAAAAAAGGATACACCCATTTTCCGCTGGGGGACCCCAAACCAAACGAGCCGGAGGCGCTCGTAGGGAAAGAGCAGCCAGAGATCACGCATTGCCTTGGCAGACAGCTCCCAGATGACACCTCGGTGTTCTGACCCTCGCCCACATCGCACAGAAAATATGTGAGCTGGTTTAAAAAAAAATAAAAATGTATGGTGCATGGTACCCGTTGGAATCATTACCATGGCTCATGAAGGATCTTTACCACCAGTTGCATGACCATCCTACTGTGAATGGACAGAATCCTGCACCAGGTTGAAACCATGGGAAACCATTGTTTGTTGGCATCTACAGGAAAGTCATCATTCCAGGGTTTCTTGGGTGGTGCGAACTGGATTTCGTCCATCCACAGAGGTATTGAACCGGTCAAAAAAGACCATGGCCGTGTTGTTGTTGTTGTTGTTTTTTCCGATCCTCCATATTTCGCCTACCCTAAAGATATGTATCACATATCTTGAAGGACCTGATGCTGATGCGTCTCCCCAGTCCGTCCGATTCGACGCGGGAGCAACTGGGGTGAATTCCCACGAGTGCGTTTAGTGCAAGGTGGATCCCCACCACTTCCCCGAACCATGGTGGTCTTGCTTGGTGCTTTGCAGCTTAATAAGGTGGTTTTCCATTTAGATCAACTCCAAATCCAAAACAACCATTCCAGACCAACTGAGGAACCCGAACAGAGCGACTAAACCACTAGTGCTATAATGACTCGTTGACCAGGCTTCTCAGAATACAAAGGGGGGCCCTGGGTTCTTTGAACAAGCGCGTGCCTTTTTTTTTTTGGGGGGGGGGGGGGAAGTTGAAAGGGAACAAAAAACATGTGAACGCCATGCCCGAACATAACCTCAGAGTTGAGAGAGGTTTTGAAAGAACCTTCAAGGGATCAACGAACCAAGGGCTTCAGGAGGCAGGACGGATGAATTGATTCCGCACAAGAAATGAAAAATCAAAGAACTTTAAAAAAAAAGGGCCTGAGAAGTGGGGTGGTGTCATTTGAGCCAAGGGTTACAACCCCCCTCCTTTTGGGTTAGAAAAGCCCGTGAGGTAAGGAGGCGATCGATTTGCTTTACAGCAAGCAAGCCCTAACCCCGGCCACTAGGAAGATGAGATGGTGCTAATGGTGACTCGTTTGCTCCGCCGTGACTGACTTAGGTGCATTTGGTGAACAGGTATGCCAGGAAGACTGGCTTTGGAAAAAGGCTGTGCCCATTGACGCAGCCGATCGCGTCTTGAGGTCAGTTCCTAGAACCCGATCTACCCTTTTTCTTGCATGCTACTCGGTTCCCAGCAATAGGGTGCCTTGAACTGTCATGGTTTTGGAAGTTTGACTTTTAACAAGGCATCAACACAGCAAGGTCAATGTCCCAAGGGTTCGCAGTTATCAGTGATGTGCGGGGTGAAACTTTGATCCAAAGCCCACAAGGTAATGTCATGAATCTTAGTTGGCGCTTCGACAATTAATGGTCTAGGTCCTCCAGTAGAGAGGTTCGAATAAGGGTACCCTTTTTTCCGTAGTCTATTTTAGTAGGGGAACCCTCCCAACCAAAAAAGGGGTGAGAAAGGGCACGATCCTGGGGGAACCTGGTTAATCAGCAACTCATCTAGGGCCTCGTTTCCTTGGGCTTAGGGTTTGTCTCCAAATCTCCTCGAACCCCAAAGCAGGGGAATTTATTTTTGGTTCAAAGACATCCAAACCAGGGACTCTCCAAAAAAAGACAAACCCGAAATGGGCTTGTCTCCAAATGGGTGGTTTCTCAAATGCGAGTTTCTTGATTGGTCCCTTGGCAACAGACTACTGGATACCCCCAGCTCCAAGTCCGGCTCTGTTCCAACCACTAATGTTGACCCAGGACAACAAAAACAAACGTCCCACTATTAGGGGGTGGTCCCTTCAAAAGTGGTCTGAATTTCCACTCAAAGGATTGGGACACCCCCCAATCAAAATCAACCAGTTTTCTGCTTATTCCGGGGTTAACCTTCCCGAAAATCTCCTTGGTTGGTGTTCTTGCTTGTTGTTAGTGGAGTTTCCAAAGGGTTCAGCGTTTATGTCCCTAACCAGCAGAGAGCCTGCCCTTACCACTCCGAGAAGCAATCGGTGTAGGCGGTCACCGAGGCCACCCGGTTCAGGCAGCTGCCGCCCACTTCCAGGGCGCCCCACCAGGACTCCCTCGGCGAAATGCAACGGATGAAACCAGAACTGGGCTGCCCGTTTTTCGGATCCCCCGCTAGAAGCGACTAACTTTTAGCTGGTGAAATACGGAAACTAGCACTAAGCACTAAAAGGATCTGAAAAGCTAAGGAACCGGATGGCTGGGAGCCACCAAGACAAAGTTTGTAGATAACGTACGTTCTTGGTCGCTGTTGACCCCCCTGCAAAAGGTTTGTTGGTTGGAATAGGAAGGATATGCTTGAACATGTTGGAACAGTCTAACTTGGTTGGTTGGAATAGGACAGGTATGGCTGTGGGGCAAAACCAATGGGCTCCCATTTTGGGGTAGGTGCACCACCCATTTTAGAACCTACTTTAGTGGGGGTACGGGATGTTCACTGGGGGTACGGGATTTTGACCCGTGGCCATATCGTTTGTTGGAATTTCCCTTGGGAAATCGAAACATGCCAGGGATTCTTGGTGCAGGAGTTCGTCCATCCACAGTATCTTGCAGGGGCATCCGCAGACGACCTCTCCACACAAATAGGTATACGTGTTTTGGAGCCTCGTGCCCTTTTCAGGTTGGTTTCACGGGAAACCGCGAAGAACACCGCCACGTTGGGGGTCTCCTTTGACCACCCTCCCTTTGGCGGGAAGCTGTCCTTCAAAAAGGCAACGGTCAACCAGGAAGGGCTTGGAGAGAAACGAAGATGGCCTTCCAGGCTTGGTTGCTGCAGTGACCCTTTGGCAAAAAGTGGATATCACTTTTGGCGGGGTGTAACAAAAACACCCAACTTGGATTTCAACCAAAAAGCAATAAGTCTAAAGATCCGTTGCTCAATAGCAGTCAAGCAGGTGGCAATGACTCTTGATGGGTCTCAGACCTTTTGGTGGGTTCATTTGGGGGGGTCATGTCCACCAACCACAAGCTCTGGCTCTTAAGATTCATATTTATTAATACTGTGGATGGACGCGAAATCCATGCAACGCACCACCCAAGAAACCCTAGAACGATTCGATTCTCCTGAAAATACCAACAAACAATAGTTTCAACCATGGTTTCCTGACCCAGAAAGACACCCCCCTATAAATAAACCTTAATGGGGGCAACATTACCAGACAGGACAGCGAGCCTCCCAGGTTCTCAAAAAGGACATTTCCTCCCACTCGCATGTCGCATCTCCAAGCACATTTATTTTTGCTTGCAAGGCTGGCTATCTGGGTGTGTCTCTCTTTTGGGGGGGGGGGGCAAAAAATGGATTTTTCGGTCTTCCTGTTGACTTTCCTTCCAAGAAAACAAGCCACCCATCCGGGAGGTTGCACGATCCCAGGCGGCGAGGTGGCTGTGGCTCAAAATTCGCCTGGCCAAGGGCGCTCAGATCCCTCCTCCAAAGAGAATCTTCGCTTTTCCCGACCAAAATTTTGCCGGGCCGCCCCCCCCCCCCCCCACCCATGTCGGCTGGACCCAAAATCCTGTCCGGCGGGCCTTGAAATTTTCGGGGTTCGTCGGCGTCCAGCTCCATGGGTCCATTTTTGTCGAAAAAAATGCGAAATCACTAAAAAATTGCTTTTTTGTCCTGAAAAGCATGACCTCCTGGTGGCCAGGCCTGCCTGACGTGTCTGAGATTAGGCTCAGGCCCAGCCCAACCAGCAACCCGCCTGCTGGCCAGGCCTGTCAGCCCCACCCAGCCTCAGGCCCAAGCTTGTCTGAAACAGGCCTACCCCAAGTCATCCAGCAAGCCCAGCCCAGCGCCAGCCCAGGCCCTAGGCCGGCCCCAAGGTCAGGTTTGTCTAACGCCAACGACCCAGTCTCACGCTGGTCTCAAGCTATGCCAGCCACCAAGCCCGTCTGACGTGCCCCAGCCCCTCAGTCCGGCTGCCCAAGCAACTCAGCCCAGGCTGGCCAGGCCTTGACCTCCTGCTCGCGTCTGGCCCCAAGTCATCCAGCAGGCCCAGCCCCGTCTCAAAGTACGCCAGCCTGAGACTGGCCTCAGGCCCAGCCCAGCCAACTCGCCACCCAGCCTCAGGCCCAAGTGTGTATGAAACAGGCCTTGCCCAGCCAGCAACCCGCCCAAGCCAGCCCAAGTTCCAGGCACAACCAGCAGCCTGGTCCGGCTGCCCGGCAGCCAGCAACCCACCCATGGCTTCGCAGCCTCGTGGCTGAGACTAGCTTCAGGCCTAGCCCAAAGCCTGCCCAGCCCAGGCCCAGCACATCTCAGGGCATGCCAGCCACTACCAGCCCCCAGCTCCCAGTGTGCCAAGGTCAGGTGTCTGAGACTGGCCTCAGGCCAACGACCAGTCTCACGTGTCTGAGACTGGTCTCAAGCTATGCCAGCTACTCAGCAGCCCAGGCTGACCAGGCCCCTTCGGCGCAGTCTCAAGGTATGCCAGCCTGAGACTAGCCTCAGGCCCAGTCCCTCAGCCCGCCTGCTGGCGTCGACTGGCCTCAGGCCCAGCCTAGCCAGCAACTCGCTACCCAGCCTCAGCCCATCCAGCAACCCGCCCAAGCACAGCTCAGCCCAGCCAGCCGAAGTTCCAGGCGCAACCAACACCATAATCCAGCTGCCCAGCACCACCCATGGCTTCGCAGCCTCGTGGCTGAGACTAGCTTCAGGCCCAGCCCAACCAGCAACCCGCCTAAGCCGAGACACCAGCCTGGGCTCAGCCCAGCCCAGTCCGCCTGCTGGCCAGGCCTGTCTGACGTGTCTGAAACTGGCCTCAGGCCCAGCCCAGCCATAGCCCAGCCCCCTCAGTGCGGCTGCCCAGCCCGCCGTAAACTAGCTTCAGCTCAACCAACAACCCACGCAAGCAAGGTCCAGCCAAGCTGCCCGAGACTAGCTTCAGGCCCAGCGCAGGCTTATCTGATGTGTCTGAGACTAGCCTGTGGCCCAGCCCAACCAGGCGAGGCCGGCTTGTCTGACTTGTCTGGAGCCAGCTTCAGGTATTCGGACCTTCCCAACACTGGATTTCGGTGTTCCTGACCCTTCCCTCAAACTAGGCTGGGCCGAGGCGGGCAACGCGAAGCGTTTACAATTAAACGATCGGAGGGGCAGACCGCAGGTTTTGGTACCCATGTTTCCACTTACCAGGGCAAGCCATTTTGGTACCGGATTTTTTGAGCAGCCAGGTGTTCTTGGGCGCAATCCATTTGAAAACGGCCGCACATAAAATGCGGCTTTTCTATCCCAAGGGCATGGGCACCTGGGCACCTGGGCCGCCCTCTGCTTCACTCTTTTGGACTTCGTGCCCAAACCTGGAAAGGGGTGTTCTTGAAAGGGTGTGCACCAGCTTTTAACTGGGGAGGGGGGGCCAGCGCAGGTGCTGCTCGGCTGTTTGCATCTTGCTTGCTTGGCTGCTTGCTTGCTTGGCTGATTGGCTGCTTGGTTGCTTGGTTGCTTGCTTGGCTGCTTGCTTGCCGGCCGGCCGGCCTGCTTAGTTTCTTGGTTGTTTGGTTGGTTGGTGGGTGGGTGGGCGGGCGGGTAGGTGGGTGGGTGGGTGGGTGGGTGGATGGGTGGGTGGGTGGGTGGGTTGGTTGGTTGGTATTCCACCAGCCCCGAACCTCAGCCCAAGGATTGGCATTGGCCAAGATCCCGTTGACTTTTGGTTCAACCACATCGGTTATAAAGTTGTTTGTTTTCACCAGGCCGTACTAGTACTATAACCACCATAAGACCAGGTAGGAACCGAACCTACTATGACCCTTTTGGAAAAGGACCGGTTTTGCCCTCACATGGCCCCAAGTGGAATTTGTTCTTGGCGGCATGCCCATTGGACAGGCCAACCAAAAGCCCCGGTGGTATTTCTGACCTTGGATTAACAAACCCCTGCTTAAGTGTTTAATACGCCCCCCATTTTAGAGGCAGTCCTGCACTTTAAAAAATAAAAATAAAAATAAAAACACAAATAGTCCTAGTTGATGGATTCATCCGCGGTCGGCATTATCCCCCAACACTTCGAAACCCACCATGAAAGCTGTGCCAAATCGGCGGAAGAGTAGGAATCTCGAGCAAAACCATGCCACATGTGTCCACCAAGAACAAAAGGACCCTGATGCTTTTTTGGAGGGAAACAAGAAACTTTAAAACTCTGTTGGATGGCGTTTAAAAAAAGGAAACCACCACACAAACAAAGGGGTGGCAACCATCTTTCAGGGAGCCGTGAAAGGTCCCCTGCGCAGCCCGATGCAAAATGATCACCGAAAAGCGATGCCCAAACCCACCTAAAGGTGATGGCCACCATCCAAGAAAGGAGTGTTGAATCACCAAAACAGCCGATGTGCAGGCCACCCAAAAAGGTGATGTCCGAAATCCACCCAAAGGCTATGGCTCAATCCACCTAATAAACGGTGATGCTTAAACCATCCCAACTAGTGATACTACAACCACCAAAAAGAAAGTGATGATGAAGGTTTTACCAAAGTGGATGCTTCAGTTTCAAGCAACCAAAGCTAGGAATAATTCTGCATAAGGATCGCGTTTTTTCTATAGTCGCTCAGCCCAGTTGAGAGGCTCCAGCCGAACCTCCCCCCCCCTCCCCGCTTCCAGTTTCCGATCGGCGGCTTTGCCGAGGCGCCAAGCTTTGGTGCCGGGGTTCTGCGAGAGACGACCCACAAAGGCCTGCAGAGACGTTATTCATCGGCTGTGGCAAGCGCAAAAGCCATGTGCCAACCCTGTCGATTAGGGTGGATTTCATCCTACGCAATCCGCTACCCACCTGTTCGCTCGCATATGTGTTGCGGGGCCTCATTTGGAGTTTGCCAAAGAATCTTGCGGATTGCGAGCAAATGGCCCAATAGGGAAGAAACGCCCTCCATCCCCACAAGATGTTGGCACCGATTTTGTCTGTAAGGAATGGAGAAACTTTCAAACAACTACAAAAACGAATCAACCCTTTTGAGAGGAAAACCAAGAGGAGGTTGTTTCAACAATTTGGCTGCTTAAACGTTGTTTCAACAGCTTAGCAAACAGGAACAGGGACGGTTGGCGCAACTAACGGGCTTTCCTGAGGTGGACCCCCCAATTGATTCGCCGGCATTTTGAATCGGGGGGGAGCCTATGGTTGACCCATTTGAGACCGACCCTTGTTTTGTATAATCTGGGTGGGGTTGGGCAAAATAGTTGCAATCCCCTAAAACAAGGTTACTGACCACACAACCCCAGCGCAACGGGGCAACGCCAGGCTCTTCAGCCAGGCGACGTGCTTGCAATAAATGTCCGCTTCCCCCGTGAAGACGAACATGCCTTGGGACGGTCTGGCCACATCGTCTTTTGGCTGTGGGTCAAAACCAATGGTACCATTTTTGGAGTAGCACCACCCAATATAGAAAAGTGGGGATTGGGATGTTCACTGGAGGTACGGGATTTTGACCCATGGCCATTTGAGCCTCATTTGGTGATGAGAAACCTAGGATTGAAAACCCGAGCTCAACAATGAGGGGTCCCACTTAAGAATGGACACTTGGCTTGGTTCATCCGGGACGACATCGGTCACCAAGTTGTAAATGGCTTGGACCCCCAAGCTCCAATGGGTATGAACTTTAGTGGTGGGCCCTTTGGTGGAACCCTGCGCTTGCGCCAACCAAAACGGCTGGTCCCCCCATTTTGACAAAATTAAACGCCTGCTGTTGATGGACAACCTGCTTCACACGAGTTGGGATGGATGAAACCCCACTGTGGATGGACGAAATCCTGCACCACTTCAAAACCATGGCACCATGCTTTGTTGGTATCCGCCGACCCCACCCAGCAGCGTGCTCAGGCGGGCAGCGCTGGGATACCGAAGGTCCCGTCGAATGGCCTTCGCCGCTGCTACCTCTGTCGCCCGGCGCCTTCGCTGCTCTCGTGTAGCGGGGAGCACCCTGGCGCAAGGAGTTTTTTCGGCTATTTTTGGTCGCTATTCGCTTGCCGTGCCACTGCGCTAGTGTAGCGCGGCGTGCCCTCTTCAGTTGCGCCGAGGCTGTGCCTACACGCCTGAGAGTTGCTATTTTTGGTCGCAATTCGCTCGCCAGGTGCCTGGCGCCGTGCTTGCGCAGGGCTGTGGCTGCCGGGCTGTGGCTACTGTACTTTGTGGGTTCAGAAACTGCCGCCCGGACAATCCTGAGAGTCGTTTTTTGTCGTCCGTGTTTGGTCACTGGACTGATGTTCTGTTTGTTTTGCTTCTGCTGTGGCTGGCTCGTGTGCTGCGCGGTCCTTATTTTTTCTGCACTTGGTTTTTGGGCCTTGCGGCGCGCGCGCACGCCCGGCCACAAAACGCTGCTATTTACTGTGTTGTTGCGTTTGCGTTTCCGCGGCTGGTCGTCCTGGGGCTTCTGGAGCGCGCGCGCGCGCGCGCGACCCCATGTGATTTGACCCGGTTGGGGCCCTGGGGCTCAGAAAGCTGACATTCCCAGCAAAATCTGGGATATGTGATGGCTGGAGTGGGCAAAATGCATAATCTAACCAAGCACGTCATAGCATATCATAGCACAGGATACGTTTCACATACCTAACGTGACATAACATGGTAGATGCTATGGCTGGAGTGGGCAACATGCATAACCTAACAAGACATATCATAGCATTGGATACGTGTCACACACAATAAGATAAAGACACGGTATAACAAAGCGGCGTAGCCGGCTAGAGGCCGCAGGCCCAAAACATTTACATGGCAATTATCACTCCAGGGTTTCTTAGGTAGTGCAGGATTTCGCAACCATTCACAGCATGAATGCTGGTTGCAACTGGTGCTTTCGGTGGGTTTTGTCACAGCAAGGGTTTGAGCATCCAGTATCCGTGGGCGCCTGCTACTTGTTGCAAGCAAAGCCACCACACTCGACCCAAAACCACTTGCAAACAGCGAGCAATATTCAGTTCCAAACCACTTGCAAACAGCGAGCAATATTCAGTTCCAACTTGTCACAACTAGTGTTGGTTGTTTCCCACTTCTTCCCTGACCCCAACCTCTTTCCAACTGGTGTCCAATGTTTCGTTCATCACTTTGTGGGGTCAACACTGCCAAAAGCCGGGTGAAATGTCCGCGGTCTTCTTCTTTCTGGTGGCTCGCGCACTCAATACTGTGAAAGTCACCGGAAACCACCGACCTGCATAGGTGAGCTTTCGGAAAAATAGATGGGTTTCCTTGGTAAATGGAATGGAACCCGTCTAGACCAGTGGAACCCATCTATTTCCTTTCCCAAACTAAGCGATCAAAAGGACACCAACTTTTTTAAAGGGTTGAGTTGCAGGAAAATACAGGACAACAGCTTACTTAAGGTGGTTTGGGGCCATGTTTTGTAGATTGTCCTATCTCCAAACCCTTTGAAACCTCTTTCTGACTTTCATCACCCCCAGAAACTGTCGACTCATTTGGCCCCATTTCTCAGCAGACCGACTTTGATCACCCCCAGAAACTGTCAGCTGCTTCAGCGGATGCGGCCCGTGGCCCGCCGGGCCCGCCGGGCCCTTCCGCCGGGGCGCAAGAGTCCCCGACGTCGCCCTCCTTGCAGATCTTCTCCTCCGCCTCCGGGCCATTGGAGTCACGATCAAACCCATGCGCATGCGAGTCACGAACTCAGCAAGAGACACTAGAGACTTCAACTTGAACTTTGTTGGACAATGCGTGGAGAGTAGGTCCTTTCTAAACTGAGAAGAAAAAAGGGACAAACATAAATGACGTGGTATTGAGTAGTCACGCATTCGAACCCATTCGAACCTGGCATTCAAATCATCCACCCAAAACCATTTGTTAAACCCCCCCCCGCCCCACTCAATCATCTACCCCCTGGCCCACCAACACCTGGTTTACCCAAATGAATCTAAAGCGATTTACAAGCGGCCCTCCCCAAGCTTGTGGCTCAAATGGCCTGATGAGTCCTGAAGTCAACAGGAACCCATCAGGGAGGTCAAGATGTTGTGAGAGACTCGCCTCCCCCTGGCCCCCTACCATGGCTTTCTCCACATTCGGGGCCTTGATAAGGTGGTCTTATTTTTGGGGAAACACGGGGAGGGGGTTAGAGGATTGGGGGCGTTGGATCCTTGATTCCCATCCCCATCGTGTCACCAAAGGGATCTCTCACAACAAATCGGCAAACCAAAGCCCAGCTTTCCACCACTGGTCCCTGTGACGCGTTGGAGGGCACCGGGACAATTCACCAACCCCCATGGGGTTGATATCGACAAAATGGCCACGATGCTTGCTAAGAGGCCTCTCCCTTGGCACAGAAAAAGGTTCGCAAAGCAATTCAGCCTGAAACCAGAAATCCCTTATAGGCTGCTTGATTTCTGCACTGGGTACCCTCCTACGCGGTTTGGTGCAGACCCCGCTCCCACAGAGCCAGAGTCTTGCAGGGCCCTGCGCTGCACGGAGGGCACTTCCTGAGACAGTTGTGCAGATTGAAATCCAATGGCCGCTTGTTCTGACCCAGCCAAAAAAAAGTACGGTGCCCCCAACTGCAGCTGCATGACGGTTTTTCCATCCCAGCCCAGTCTCGTTCGCTGTGGATCAAAATGCGCTCCTTTTGCCGTCCCTTTCAAGGCAGCCTAGATATTGGCTTGTTTAACCCAATTTTCTCCAGCACACCCCTGTTTCGTTTCTTTGGGTCCCCCTCCCTGCCCCCCCGTGGGTTCCCCCTCCCCCCTTGGTTTCTTGGGGTCCCCCCCCCTAAGTTTCTTCCACCCCCCCCCCCCCCCCGCCCACTCCCCCCGCGTCCAAAACGAAACGAAACACGAGGAACCCTCACGCGACTCGCTCGTCTTTTTTTCGCCTTGAAAAGCTGTATCTTCACCAAGTTCAGCAGGGCGTTCTTGAAGTTCTCGTCCAAGTTGACGAAGAGCTTCACGTAGACTTTGCTGCGGTAGCCTGGGTTTTTGTGTTTGGTTTTGTGTTTGTTGTTGTCCTTTCTTGTGTTTGTTTGTGGCTTCTTGGGAGTTTTGGGTTTAATTTGCTGTTTGTTGTCTTTTGTCTGGCTTGTTGTCACTCCCTCTTTGTTTGCTGCGGCAGCCTGCGAAATCTCTGTGAGTTGTGGTGTTTTTGCTCAGAGTTCGACATGAGAAGGAGAGAGACTTGCCGATCCAATGGAAATCCTTGACAGCAGCGCTCCAGGCTGGACCTTTACCACCCACCTAGTGGGTCACGCGTTACCTGCATCCCCAGCACCTGGACAGCATCATTTGCATCCCCAGCATCCACCAATTGCCGAAGGTTCTGCCATTATCTGCATCATCTGCTGGCCCGAAAAAATTGCACCCGAACACTTCCCGCATCGTCAGCGCCATTTGCCCAGCCGTCTGCAATCACTCTCAAAATGTCGCATGGCGATGCTAGTGATGCGGGTGATGCTGACGATGCTAAATTGGCTGCATGCCGCATACTGCAAAAAAGGCTGAAAAGTCGCGTTCAGCCTGGAAAGCGCCAAATTGGATGATCCGAACCTGAGTTTTGTTCAACACCGCCGCAAGACTGCAGACGTCTGAGTGGCGTGTTTGGACCCGACAAACAGCTTGCTTCCGCCAAAAGGAGAATGAAAGACGAACTAAGACTAGCTCAAGGCTCTATATTGAAGGAGATTATCTGGGTTCTATTTTGTAGGCTGAAACCAAGGAGCCGATAGCCTCCTAGCTTGGCTATGGTCATGACTCACTTAGAAGGGAGCCATCATTGGGGAAACCACCTTGCAACCGCTACACATACTGAAACTTTCACAAACCACACATGAACCCCCAAAAGCCATGATAAAATTGCAGATGCAGGGGTTGGTTCCCCTCGCAATATTTAGTTTGTAGTTCGATAGCTCCGCTACCCTGTGGTGGGCGTTCGCGGGCTGTCCAAAACAAACCCTTAGACCTTGGGTCCCTTAGACCTTGGGTCCCTTAGTCCCTGGCCGCTGAAAAGCGATTTTGGTGCAGGTCTTTTGTGACGCATGCGCCAGGGATGCTGGGGGGAGATATGGCCCCTTTGCTCTTGTGCAGAGATCTCGAACGTATTGAGGCGTGCGGGTTGAGAACGACTCCCCCCGAAATTTCGGATTTCTAGGGGTTGACTCCCCATTATTTTCCACCATCTCCCCAAATCAGTCTTTTTGGGCGGTTTTGTGAAAAGACGGATTCCTGAACATGTGGGCGTGGCCCTATGCAGAAGTTACCCCAAATCGGTTTCCCGCTTGGAAATTAATCTGGCAAGCGCGCCACGGTCAAGGCAAGCCTTTGGATATGAGCAGCGCTGAGAACCGATTCTCTAAAGGGCCATTTTAGCAGGTGGCTTATCCACCTGGTTTCATCGGGGTTGTATATAGTAGCGCCCATATAAACGGTAACTTTTACAATCATAGAAGAACCAACAGTCAATAGGTGGGCGCAGCTCATGTGGGAATTCTGGTGAAATTCAGTGGCTCGTTGTCTTTCGCCCGAAACCCAAGTGGACCAGCTGGATGCTTGGTAGCTCCAGCATTTTGGGGTGGGAAGAGCCAAGAGGGCCGGGCCGTGGCTGATGTGGGAGAAGGTAAGCCATACTTGCCCAAAGAACCTGGCTGCATCTTTTGTGACCTGGACTAAATATGGGTCTGTCTTCTTTTGGGGTTCGTTGCTTCGTTTTTTTTCTTTGTTTTACATGGAAAACCAAAAGGAAAATCGATGCCGTTTTGGGGGGTCCGCTACAGAAAGACCCAGGTCTCCGAACCGGAACCTCGCCCGGAACCTCCCGCCAAAGCCACTGGCGGGTTGGCCCCAAAGCTATCGCTCGACCGAAAACGAGTAGAAAACATGCGCAGTGCGGACACAAACAAACCAACCAAAAAACAAACCAAAACACGAACGAACGAACGCACAAACGAAGAATGCCAAAAGGCAAACCTAAAAACAGGTTTGACAGAGAGGAAAAGGAGAAGCTGTTCTGTGCTCGCTGGAACAAGCCCTTTTTAGCTCTGGAACAAGCCGCAACCTGCGGTCAGTCCAAACCCCCTGGCCACGTGGCCGGTTGCCCGCTTTGCCGCCTGCGTTCAATGGTGCATGCTCCCTTAAAAAGGACCCCCAACATGGATTTCAGGTTTTCTGGTTCCCCTTCAAAACCTCAAAAAAGAGTGACAGCCCCCGTGTCACAAATCCAAGAAAACACACCCTCAAAGCAAAAAACACGCCTCAGGAACTCTATGGCCGGGATGGTTGTTTTCTTTCTTCTCGTCGGCCGAGCAGCGCATGAGCCATCCCCGCAAGAAGTCCGCGGCCGCCTGGTACACGGTGTTCTTCAGCATGGTACGGTCCGCCCGGTGCCTCTCGAAAGAGGACGTTGCCCAAGGAGAAGCTTCCTAGATAGCCAAGTTGTGATTTTTCAGTCACTGTCGCTTGTTTTCGGGGTAAAGTGGATGGAAAAAGGCAATCGCAACTGGCGATCCAGGCTCCCCCTTTTGGTCGGTCGGCTAGACTTAGACCTCGTGGGGCCGAGAGGATGGGGCAGCCAGGATCTTGGTTGCTGCAACGACCCCCCCCTCCCCGAAAAAAGTTTCTCACTTTTGGGGGGGTTTAATGGACAACCCCTTGGATTTCTCCCGAAAAGTTCAAGTCTAAAGATTCCAGTCAAGGGATCAATGTTTTTCTCCGCTGCCAAGCCAAAGCCCCCAATCGTGAGGGAGTCAAACGCAAACAGCGAGGCAGCCAGGCCAAAATGGCCGCAGGGGTGTGTCACTTCGTGGGAAAGGGACGCCAGACTTCTTGGCGGAAAACCAAGAGAGGATGAACTTTGAGGTGATTCCAACTATTTTGAAACCCAGATCAAGCCAACCCCTCCCCCATTTTAGGGGCTTTTCCTGCCAGGGCAAGCCAAGGCCCCCCCCTTTAAAACCCCAGCTTTACACCTTGCAGGGTGTCCAGCTTTACACCTGGGCTTCCCCAGGCCTCCACTGGCTCAAGTCCCCGGGAAAAAATGCACCATGCTGCGGATGGCTGCGAAATCCGGTTTTCGCCACCACCTAACAAACCCTGAAATGAGTCGATTCACCAACGAAAATACCAACTAACGTTATGGTTTCAACCATGGTTTCAAAGTGGTGCGAAATGGATTTCGTCCATCCACAGTATGTCCAGTAGTGATGCTGTGGATGGTTGCGAAATCGAAATCCGTTTCGCAGCACTTGGAAACCACGGCTGAAACCATTGTTGGTGTTTACAGGGGTCATCGTTCTAGGGTTTCTCAGGTGGTGCGAACGGATTTCGTCCATCCACAGTAGATTCCCTTTAAAACCAAGAGGGGAAAATTATATATATATATATATATATAAAGAGTAAGCCGCACTTTTTCTGCGCACAGCAAGTCCAACTTTGTCATAAATAAAAAGTTACGTCCTCTTTGTGGTGGCTAACTAGCCCTGGGCCCCTTGCCCGTTTCTTGTCAAACTGGGGGCCTCAGGATTTCCCTTTCCCGCCAAGCCGAAGAAAGAGGAAATCCCCCCCCGCACCCCCCCTAGCTCTTCCGCCAAGCCGGAAGAAACTAGGGCGCTCAGGTGCAATTTTGAGGCCGTCTGAAAAAGAAACTCCGGAACAGCCTAGCCACCACCCCTTTTTTCCTCTTTTCGGGGAAGGGTGGGCGGGACCTTAAGCTGACGTGGCTGCGGCAGACAAGTGCTTTACTCTTTATACCCGCTACGTGAGTCCAAAGAGTAAGCCGCACTTTTTCTGCGCACAGCAAGTCCAACTTTGTCATAAATAAAAAGTTACGTCCTCTTTGTGGTGGCTAACTAGCCCTGGGCCCCTTGCCCGTTTCTTGTCAAACTGGGGGCCTCAGGATTTCCCTTTCCCGCCAAGCCGAAGAAAGAGGAAATCCCCCCCCGCACCCCCCCTAGCTCTTCCGCCAAGCCGGAAGAAACTAGGGCGCTCAGGTGCAATTTTGAGGCCGTCTGAAAAAGAAACTCCGGAACAGCCTAGCCACCACCCCTTTTTTCCTCTTTTCGACCTCTTTCCACGTCCCCCTGTACTGCGTCTCGACGCTCGCTCGAGCCTCGGCAGCGCACTTCTAAGTGCGTTTTGGTATAAGCGAACCCAAGCACTCAGTTGGGATTGAGAGAATCTCATCTCGGCTAACATAGCCAGCCCTTCGTTCAGGTAAATGCGGGCAGTCTTCGCTGCCTGCCACCTGCCTTGGACCAACAACCTGTCAAACTGGCCATGACGTTGGAACCAAAAAGTAGCGCCACCCCTGCGCAGGCTATATGGCCGAAACTCAAACTCAGTCACTCGAATGTCAGCCAGGAGCTGATTAAAAGTCTTCCGCCAGGTAGACGGGGAGGCACACATATAGGAGCCGCTGGGCACTGAAAGCACCCACTGTTCAAGACGCCGCACCACATCCCATACGGTGATTGTGCAGCTTTCGGCAGCTCCCTGACGTTTGCCTCCCTTTGTCCACCCCAGCGAAACAACCGCGGTTTTGTGATCCGCACTCACGGAAACGTGACGAGCTTGAATGCTAAGCAACTCTCCAGTGCGTAGCAAGCCATAAAATCCGACAAGCAGAGAAAGAGCCATTCCGTGGTTTTCCTGGAACAAGCATCGGCCCACCATGGCCTTTAAAAGGCTCTCCGGGAACGGGGGAGCTCTGTTTGGTATCTCATTGCTGTTCCAGGCCTTCATGAGGCGCCATGCTTGGGGCATTTGGTGGCGGAGGCTGGGGTCCAAATCTTGCAGTCCGGCTAAGGTATCTGAAGCCAAAGCCCTGCCTTCTCCCTGGGACCACAGAGTCTCGATATAATCGGAGACCAACTCATCCATTAAAAGTTTCTGCTTTGGAATTGCGATCCCTCCATCTCGCAAATGTTTCAAAAAACGCGTCCGAGCTTTCTCATATCTGGTACGCGTGGCTGGCTGCACAGTTAAACTTTTGAGTGAACCCAAATCTTTCCGAATCTTCGCTCGCTCCCGTTGCGACCTCCCTTCAACGTGCTTCATTGCTTTAACCATTTGCGACGGACACCTCTCCTGCTTGGCCTGTCGGCCGGATTCTGGTGCGTGTGCACATACCCCCATAGGGGCTGGGAGCGTGTCGCGAGGAGTAAGCAATTGATTCGGGTGAGGGTTCTACGAAGTTTGCGGCTCGACGTGCGGCCACGACAAAGGCTGTGCAGGCAAACCAGAGAGTCAGTGAGATGGATCCATCGCTTGTGCATCTGTCCACGTTGCTCGAGGCGCCACTTGACGGTGCTCAGGATGGCGCGCAATTCCAAAACGTTGATGTGGTCCGTATGTGATTTCCAAGTCCATCCGGCCACAGTTCTCCACCGCCACAATCTGCTGGGGATAGATGCTCGCAACCTGTGGAACCGGACATGGACATCGGTAGAAGCCTGAAGAAGGAGATCCTCTCCTTTTATAGAAATGACTCCCAGGAACTTCTTCACGAGCTTCAATGATGAGTCAACCTTGGTGCCCCTGACAGCCCTCAAAGGGGGCCGCAGTAGTACTCCCTGGAACGTAGGAGACCATCCGGGCGCGAGGCTCTTCACGATGTCCTGCAAAGACCGCGGTGCACACAGTCCCAACGGGAAGAACAGCCAGTATACTAGCCAGGTGATCACGAAGAGGTTCCAAGAATTGCCCACTAGACTAAGCCGGCAATCTTCGAACTGGATGTTGCCATGTTGCGACTTGGGCATGCAGGCCTTGGTGTATCCCAACGGGAACCCCATGGCCACCTCCCGCTCTTCGATGTCAGGAGGCCGCATGTCGCCCTGCTTGTTCCACACACAGAACTTGTCCTTGTACTGGTACGGCGGGAATCGATGACGGTCAGCTTCCCACCGGGACCGCTCATGTGGCTGGCATGTTCCCAGCCCAGCAGGCTTGCGGCCAGGCGCGGGGGAAGGCCGGCTAGTGGTGAAGGTGGGAAACACACCACTCGGAGGCGGCTTCCAACCCCCCTTCAAAAAATCTTTCCAGTCCACAGTAGCGCTTAAGCTCACCAGGCCGACATCTTTGCCAGGAGCCCCGGGCGGTTGCGGCTTTAAAACTCCTTCTCCACCACCCAGCTCCCAATCGACCCAGTACAGCCTAGGACGCCGGCAAGGACTGACCTGACCACTGTCCACATGCCAGGGCCCAAAACCTATGGCCTCACTCATGTGATGCCTGTCACGGTCATCCATGGATGCAACACTTTCCATGAGGAACTTCACCTGGCACCATGGGAAACACTTGCGGATCAACGCGGTAATCCGGGGCACCTCCGCAAAGAGGCAGCTTCGTGCATCTTTCAAAGCACCCTTCTTGTCAGCGTTGAGCCCGGAGACCCCCTGGCAAGGGGGTCCGGCCCCTATGAGCACTACTCCTGCCGAGGAGAACTGGGTGGACCACTGCAGAACGACTTCCTCAGTTACGGTGCGTACATCATCCCACATCACGGTTCCTGGGAAGAAGCTTTCGACAACCCTGCGGGCCGGGGCATGTGATTCAACAGAAATGTGCCCACACATAGGCAAGCCAAGCGCATCGCAGGCCAGGCGAAGGGCACCAAGGCCATCAAAAAGGCCTACCGTCAACACCTGACACATGTCATGGGGTTCAGGCCACTCCCCCCGGATACTGGCCTGGGAGGCATGAACCCCATAACTCGTGAGGCCTTTTGTGACGCAGATGCCTCCACCAGTGGTGGACGCATCACTGGCAGTGACATCTCCTACCAGCTCACCCCGGAAGTCCAGTTGTGCTAGAGGGACCAAACACAAGAACCGTACCAGCTCGGCCACCACGGCAGGAGGTAGAAGCTGGGGCTTGCCACCTCCCTGCTTTAGAACCTCAATGTGACGCCACACGCAATTGAGGCCACAGAACAGCGGGCGCCTGAACATAGCAATGTATACCAGTCCTCCGGCGACCACTTGCAAATGTTTGAGGCCAGCTCGGCCCCACACAATCAGCTCCACCGCCAGCCCCATGTACTTCAGTACTTTTTCCGGGCGGGGATAAGCCACCCCTTCGTGGCCCCTGACGACCGCACCTTGCACCTCTGCCCTTTCAGCACTAACCACACTCTTCTTGGGATGCCGAGGCAGGCAGGCCGACTCGTAGGCCTTCCTGACAGCCTTCTGTTCCGGGCTCTCCCTCCCCTCCAGCCTGACGGCCAACTGGGAGTCCACTCTCTGGATGAAATCGAAGTTGTCGAGGTAGATCCTAAAAAGGTGTGAGCTCACGGGGAAACTCTTGTCTTTCCGGATCTCTTGATCTCCCGTCAAAAGGAGGGGGTCCACGCTCCTAATCACGTTACGGTGCACATGCTGGGCGATGCTAACACTGTTAAGGAACCCCATAGGGAGGACCTTGGCGGCCAGGACGCACTTCCTCCCAGTGAGGGAGGAGGGAACGAGGTCCTCGGGGACAAGCTTGTTAAACCCCAGGAATCTTTTCCACGCAGGGGGAACCTGGAAGAGATAGAAAAAGCATCTGATGTCTTCAGACGACAGGAGGGCCACTTCAGACCCCTCCAACACGAAGGCAGACATCCCCGAAATTTGGGGCAACGTTCCAACGTCACCGGAAATACCTCGGCAGTTTCTGTTCAAAGGGATCAAGTTCATGATCAACCGGAGTGTCTCCTTCCCGTTCACAAACTCGCCTTTTCCAACTCCGAACATGCCGTTCAGGAGGGGTTGACCTTGTATGTGGAACAGCTCATCCAAAGGCACCACCTCGCAGATCCCCTTACCCACCAAGCCTTGGCAAATAGAAGGCCACTCTTTGGCATCGGCAAAAACTCGGGGAGGCTTGCCTAGACTCATCTCATTTGAAGGGACCAAGAAGTCCTCGAAATGGTCCACGTAAAAGCGGGTTCCAAGGGTGCAAAGCTCAGCCAACTTGAGTTTCCCTACTTCATCCGGGAGAGCAGGGGCAAGGCACTCCCAACTAAGGTTGACAGCAAGTTTCACCTCATCCCCCTTGTAGTCAATGCCTTTGACTTTCAGGAAGTCCGAGAAGTTCACATCTTGAAAAACCTCACTCCAACTCTCACAAACCTCAACGGCAGCCGCGAGTTGTTTCACGGCCATGCGTCCAGCGTGCGAGGACCGGCCTTGCGGGTCTGTGCATCCCGCAAGGGAGTTGAGACTCCGGCACACTGCGGACAGCAGCGCATGCTTGGCGGGTGAAAGCTCGGATAGGATTGCTAGGGGAAGAGGAAATACGGATTTCCCTTCCATGGGCTGGGACTTGCAGTGCAACATTCCAACATTGAACAGATCTAGCAAATCCACCAAGCATCCACCGGCCTCGCCTAAGGTTAACCCTGGGAGCCTCAGCTTGATAGCGTTCAGCCGCTCTTGCACGGCCAGAGGGCGCCCAGGAGGGGGACCTTCACGGTCGACCGCCTCCCCGGCTCCCCCAGGAGAAAACTCCACCTCGGAGTCCTCTCCCGAATGCCTCCTCTTCATCACTTCTTCTCCTCCTTCTTCTTGGGCCAATCTTTTGCACGACCCTTATCTTTCCCCTTCTCGCCTTTTCCTTTTCCGCCACCTTTCTCATCTCTGCCTCGCGGCCCATACGGCACCCAACCTGAATCTGAACCTCCTCTCCCTTGTGCCCGGGAGCCAGCAGACAAAGCTCGGGCCTCATCTCGTGCCACCTTAGCCGCATCATGCACCTCGGTATAGCGCGCCACACGGGATGCATCCATGGGCAGGAGCTCCATCTTCTGCATCACCGAGTAATGAAGGCCAGCAGCAACGCCTTCCAGGCTCTTGATCCTTTGCACCAAAAGGTCGCCTAGCTCTGCAGCCCGGCCTTGCAACAGGAGGTCCAGCCCGTAGCACAGGGTGTGCGTCTCTCGAGCCATGGGAGGTGCCATCCTCGACATCAAGGTCTGCCTGAAGTACATGGTGCTCAGAGGAGGGAGCGGGCCATCCTCCAAATCCCACAACTGCCCCGTGTTCTTCAGGAGACTGGCTCGCATCTCCCTGATTCCTTCAGCCGCCAACACGCCGGGGAAGCGGCGGCCCACCTCTTCGGGCCTCGTGCTGCATCCGAACAGCTCCTCGGGCTCCTCCTCCGACATCGAAGATGATGAGGCTCTCCCTGAGCTATCATCTGACCTTTTCCTCTTCTTCCTCACTGTCCTGGATGCACGCCTCAACACGATCTTCCTCACCACAGGGTCCGGGTCCAATCCCGTGGACCCCACCACATCCTTCAACGCCTTCCTACTTTCAAGCACCACCTTAGTCCTCTTTTTCTTTCCTCTTTTCTCCTTTGCCTCCTTCCTCTTCTTCTGATCCGCCTCCAAGTCCCCCGCCTCGGGCTCATAGGAGTTCTCATCAAGGGCAAGAGCTCCCGCAACTCCTGCATTTCTTAGCTTCTCAGCTTCTTCACGAAGGGCACGATTCTCATCGGGCTCCACCCGGCACGCATTTGACATCCACGCCTCAGAGGGCACACCCGGAACTTCGCGAAACACACGACCATGTACCAGGCCATCCTCGCAGAGCTCCTGCTCGCACTCCCGCGGGCACACATGCAGCTTGATGCGCCCTTCAGGAGTGCCTGAGACATACTCCAAGAGTCTTCCGGATCGGGTCCCCTCCACCAAGAGGTCCAAATAAACCTCGGACCCCTCAATGCGGGCACCCTTGACAACTCCCACCACCGAAGTTTCTTCCATCCAGTAAACGCATGGATCCAGCCAGATCCTCTGCAACTTTCCCAAGCTGACCATATCGAGCTCGGCCAGCACCAGTTCATCTCCTCCTCCCACACGGCGACGGCGCCTAGGAGGGTTCTCCTCATGGTCTATCACAGCAGCAGCCGGTCTCCTCAGAATCCCAGCAGGGCGCCTCACCAGCGGCAAACCTGCTGCGGGCCTCCTCAAGACCTTAGGAGGCATTGCTCCAGCCTCCTTCAACGGCCCCGAAATCGGGCCTGCCTCTCACGCTTCTTCTTGCCTTTGTTCTTCCCTCCTTTCCAAGGGACCACCGCCCGGGGTCTCCTAACTGCGCGAATGGGCCCAACCCAGGCACTGCCAACTCCCGACTCCTCAGGAACAGGAGGGGCAACCGCCTCCGGGCTATCCTCAAGAGAGGCGGCCGCCTCAGGGCTATCCTCCTCCTCCGACTCAGTGAGGGACACCTCGGAGGCCTCCCTCTTACCGGCAGCCAACTCCGGAACCTCCACAGGCAATTCCGCAGGGGAAAGGGCCCTAGGAGCCGGGGGTGGGGGATCCCTGGGAGGCACGGGCGCTCTCACAGGTGACGCAGAAGCCTCCCTCCTGCCCTAGCCTTCCTGGAGCTGCGGCTCCTCTTGCTTTCCTTCCTCCTCCGCCTCTCCGGCGTGCGGGAAGCCCTTGGGACCTCCGGGGCTGCCTTGGAGGTAGTGGCAGGAGAGGACGCCGAGGGCGCTCCCTCCCGATCCCCTCCTGTCGGAGGGGGGCCAGCGGGCTCAGCCGGCCTGAGAGCCCCTAGCCCCGCGGGCACCACAGGTCCAGCACCACCGGCCTTGACCTGGGCGAGAGTGCGACCCTCCCGCTGTCTCTGGAGCCGAGCGCCCCAAGACAGGAGGGTCGAGGAGAAGTCCCTGATCCTTCTCCCAAGCTCCTCGCTGTCCTCCCGCTCAAAACCACGGAGGACAGCGAACCGGAGCTGCTCCAAGGAGCTACACACCGTGCACCACCGGAAGGTCCCGTACCGACCTTCACACAGTGGGCACGGCTGCTCCCCCATCCACCTACGCCAAACCTTAAGCTGACGTGGCTGCGGCAGACAAGTGCTTTACTCTTTATACCCGCTACGTGAGTCCATATGTATTATATATATATGTATATTCCTTTCAGCAAATGGAAGCAAGGGCCGGGGTAGCCAACTCCTGCCTGTCCAGCACCAGCTCCAGGATATCCGAGTGGATGAAGAAGAATCCCTTGCTGGGCTCCTGGCCTCACCGGACGGACTTGCGCGGCCGGAGGACGCCAGGCAGTGCTGTGCGTGTGGGGAAGCAGGGCTCCTTACATTATACACCTGAACATTGCCTTGTAAATGGTGGGTTCCCTTTATTTGTGTGGAAAAAGCCGTGTTTCAAATGGGCAAAATGTATCTTTTCAGGAGCCCTGGAAAGGTCTCGGTGCAGAAAGGTCGCAATGATCGGAATGGGAGCTGTGGGCGACTTTGAGCACTAAATTAAGAGCCTAGATAGCCAAGTTGCGGCCTTTTTTGTTTCAGTCACCGTTTGCTGGTGTTTGGGGTAGAGTGCATGGAAAAAGGCGATCGCGACTGGATCGATCCAGGAGCATCGTCATACCGAGGATCGACAAACAAAAACGCCAGGCACCGGTTGGCATCAATGAGTGCAGCTGTTTATTCCATCCACCGTCCACAGCCGGAATGGAGGCTTAGACATTTGTTTTGCTCATCCTGACTTGCCTCGTGTTCCAAGAAAAATCTCAAAGGTCGTGAATCCCAATACCTTCGTTGATCCCCTAGAAGTGTCTAAAAGTCTGACGTCGAAAAGAGTCTGAAAGGTCTGAAAGGTCTAACAAGCGTTCCGAGCCCTTGCACTGAATGACAAGGGGAATCCCGAAAATTCCCAAAAACAAGCCCTGGCGAAAGCGACGTTGGGGGACGGATCCGAGCCCCTTTTCTTTGAAAGGGGAGATGGAGGACCATCAAAACGCCAAGTTGCGGCCTTCGTTTTCAGTCCCTGTTGCGATCGGTTTTGGGGTAAAGTGGATGGAAAAAAACGATCGCAACTGGCGATCCAGGAAGTTGGAACTGGAGTGAAGGGCCGGAGCTCGTGCACAGACCCGATCAGCCACTTGTCTGCCCAAAAGTGGTTGGGTCATGTTTTTGAGATTTGGAGCGACCCGCCACAAACTGACAGATTAAAAAAAAAAAAACACTTCAGGCTACTACTATCTATTTCTATATATACATTATAGACACTATGCTTCCTGGGCTAACACGCACGCACGCCTTGCTTTGCAGTTGACAACCTATGATTGACCGAAGACGCCGCGGTTTCTGCCGATGCAGTCGAGCTGCGCACGCGCACGGTGAACGGGCCTCGGCAAGAACTTGAAGAAGCTGCTCTCAAGTTTTGCTCGCCCTTGTGTGAAACTAGGTTAGGTTGCCCTGTTTTGCCGGGGGAAGGGCTTGTCACACCGGGGTACACCCGTGCAAAATCCTATCCGACACCCAAATCGGCTTGCGATAATTAGTAAAAAGCCCATGGGATCCCATTTTGGGGGTAGGTGAATTCACCACCCTTGTTAGAACCTATTTTAGTGGGGATTGGGATGTTCACTGGGGACACGATTTGGCTTTTGATCTATGGCCACTTGGCTCAAATGAGCAGTGTCCCATTTCGCCCATTGGCTGTTGGCTCTAACAACATGGTTCTAAGGTTACATAGGCCTTACTGCAACCTTTAAATATGGGCCTTGCTACAGCGCAGTAGAACCAGCTACTTCAATGGTCAACAGGGATTTTGGGCACTGCTCACTTGATTCTCGTGATGCATGCTCCTTTATGGGGTTGTGCTGTGGGAGTCACTCCCAGGAGTCATGCTGTAATCTGACAAAGCTGACCATGGGAACGTCAAAATGACACCAACAGAATCTTGGTGGACGTTCAGTCCTAGGATGCAAATCTCTTCCGCCATCATTTTAGCAAAGGGTAATTAAAGATATCACTAGCATCTCGCCAGTTGGGGGGCCCCCCCACAATCCATTTGTTGGCCTGCCACCCGCCCCCCGCCCCCCCCCATGTGTCCATCGGAGGCGACCACGGTTTCTGTCACGCGGACGGTTTTCAACCGGCCGAGACGGGCTTTTTGAGTGCTTTCTTTGGGCCTCATTCAGACCCTCTTTCAGGTTCCATGCTCAGTGCCACTTCCGTGGGGCTGTCAGAATTTTTGACCATTTGTGGGGGTGATCAGTCGGAAACTGGGGTGGCTTCCCTTCAACCCACTTGAGGGGGTGACTTTGATTCTATAATGGGACATGCCAAAATTTGGTGCCTCCCACTGGCATGTTCCCGATAGAGGAATGTCTAGACGCTCGGAGAGCTGAGTACACCAAGCCAAAAGCCATCGTATCACAGCTTCCATGTGGAGTCCCTCCTAACCAAACGGCGTGCCGACCCAAATTGCGCAACATGTCCTTTCTTGACTACAGAACCACTGGGTTGCGTATACCAACCCAAAGACCACCAATGTGGATGCCCCTGCGTTGCAAGCAACCGACCGCACACCCCGAAACCAGCTGGTTTTTGTTTGAGGGGGGTCCAACTTGTTGCCCCCACCACCGACCTCCCGGACCCTGGGTTCCGACCTGTTACCCACTTGCAATAAGGATATGGCATGGACCCGCCTCGGACCTGGGGGTGAGTTCCGACCGGAACACCGAAGCCATGCTTGGGGAGGACCAACACATTTTGGGGCTCGCAGAGAAAAACAACGGGTCGCGAATTCAAGGTACCGAAAGGGCCGGTCGGCAGGCGAGAATGAGATGGTGGGGGGGATTAACTTCGTTCAGGCAAGATCATTCCAGAATACTGTGGTTGCGAAGTCCATTTCGCACCACCTGAGAACCCTGGAATGATTCGATTCCCCTGTAAATACCAACAAACAATGGCTTCCCATGGTGTCATAGTGGTGCGAATTGGATTTCGTCCATCCACAGTAGCACCTGTTTTTTTTGTTGGGCCCCCTAGACAAACCCAAACGGAGCTGAGGCCAGAAGCTTCCGGTTGCCCACTTCACATGGCTTGGTTCCAAAGACCCGGGTCAAAACAAGGCCGGCGGCGGGAAAACCGCCTGCTTTCCCCCAGCGGAAGATTGTTGGCCCTGCCAGCTCTGTGTAAAAAGAGCCAAAGCTTCAATTCCCCAAACCGTTTTTTTGAAGGGATACCCCTTCCTATCTCCAAAAACCTTGGATCTACAACTCCCAAAAACCCGAAGTGCCAAAAAGGCCCATGCCTCGTCTTCGGATGTTTTCTCCCCGGGACTCCACGGGGGGCACCGCACGTACCCAGATCGAATCGGCCGCTCGGAGTGGAGGAAGTCTGGGGCTCTGGACTCTGCGAGGTGATCCCCAGCGCCACCTCCTGCGAAAGTCCGGCGCTTCGAGCGAGAAAAATCCAACGCCCCAATCGAAAGGAAAGGAAAAAACTGAAGGGAGTTCGAAGCGAGGGGTATTCACTTCAAAAATCCACTCTCACCCAAACAAGAGGGTAGGATACCCAACGTTAGCCAAGGGGTTCCGATTTTCTCTGCAAAAACCATCTCACCCAAAAAAAGAGGAGGGTAGGAGATCATGGACTTTCACCTGTTGCAACAATCATGATGAAAAGGGCGGATCACAAGCATCGCCAGCATCATCCCAATCAAGAGTAAATATGCTCACCGACATCCTCAGCATTACCAGCATCACTGGCATCAGCGCTACAGCCAACAACCTCAACGCGAGCTCTTTGCAAATGGGGCAGCTCGCAAAGAAAGGCAGCACACCATCAAAATCATCAAGAAAACATGACCCCGCACCAAGGAAAACGCACGGTCAACACCGCCAGGGGAATCGAAATCGGGCTCGGAGAACCCCTGCCCATCCACAAGTTCTTTGAATGGCCGATTTTGCCTCAAGCTCTCGGACCGCATCTTTTTCGGAAGGGATGGGCCTGCCTCAAAATAGACCCCCTGTTTGGATGGACTCAAAGGAAGAACAGGCAACCAGCAGCAAGCCACATGGTTGGCCCTTTCGAGATGCACCCCTTGTGGATTTAAACATCCCTTCGTGTCTCTCCCTGGCACGTCAGGAATCACCAGTGAGGTGAAAGCTTTTTTGCCATGACACAAGCACGGGACATGTCTCTAGGGGTTGATTCCTTGTCCATTCTTTTCAACCATACTTCTTTCCAAAAACCGGATCCGTTTTTTTTTGTGTTTTCCCTAAGTTTCCGGACGTTTTCTAGAAAGATTCGGATCCCTGGAAAGAATGGACATGGAAGGTACCCCCTAAAATGTCCCTAGAGTTTCTCAAGCTGGTGGTCCCTGTTCAAGGGAAACCGAAAGAAACCAACCTGAAGGGGTCCCATATTTTGAAAAAGACCCACACGAAAGGTGCTTCGGAATGAGCGATGAGTGACACGAACGCAAAGTGGATCCCTGGACTTCATCAAGCAAACCAGCGAAAGCAGTAGCAACGTCTCTTAGCGCTCTGTGTGTGTTTCTTCTTTGTGTTTTCCTCTTCTTTTTTTTACAGGAACACGTCTCTTGCAACAAGTGCTTCGCAAGGCAAGTCATTGCAACGCAGGGGAAACGAACCAGAAGCGTGTGGCTGTGGGGAAGAACGGCCCTGCTGCCTCAAGCGACGTACAAGGTTCGAGCTCTCGATTTGGTTGTTTGTTGTTTTCGACTCATGACCCCGTTATTTATTGTTTGTTTTATTTATTTATTTATTTATTTATTTATTTATTTATTTATTTATTTATTTATTTATTTTTAACTGCCTAGATAGCCAAGTTGCGATGGTTTTTTTTGTTCAGTCGCTGTTGCTGGTTTTGGGGGTAAAGTGCATGGAAAAAAACAGCAACTGGCGATCCAAGTGGGAATGAACCGCAACGCACCATGACACAGCACATGAAGAAAACGCGCAAATCCTGTACGTGCTAGGTTCTGTGCCTAGTCACTGACTACGCTGTGACACAAAGTGCGAGATGGAATATGCCGTCAACCCACTGTCTTGCATACATACTGTGGATGGACAAAATCATGCGCCACCCAAGAAACCCTAGAATGATGATTCCCCTGTAAATACCAACAAACAATGGTTTCCCCATGGTGCAGGATTTCGTCCATCCACAGTATGTCTAAACCCCAAGCTCTTTTTGGGCTTCCCTTTCTCCGGCATCCTTCAGTCAAACCGGCTGGTTCTCTTGCTGGATGCCTTGCTAAAAGTTCGGCCATTGGCGGGATACGTAGCATGCCCAAGTTGCGGTGAAGCTTTCGCCATGCTTTCTCGCCCCACGTCACAAGGCGTTGAAGGAACTCAATGCAAGCACCGGACAACTGCTTCGCTGGGTTCAACTGGTGCCCCTCTGCCCACAGTGAGCTCGAACCGCAGCTGCATTGTCTGCTTGGCTTCGTCATCTCCCCCGATGAGCAAGAACACCAGCTTTTGCGGAATGCGGATGCCCAGTCTCGCAATGCTCAGACCAGATGTACATCAAGTGGTTGATGTTGTTGAAGAGCATAGTGAGTCTGCTTTTGCTGAACAGGCTGTTAATCCACCTTGCCATTGCTCGTCCCTTGGCTGGATACGTCATCAATCCCCCAAAACTCTCAAAGGGTATTATCTAGGTTGTCCAGTAGAGAGGTTAGAATAAGGGTGCCCCTTTTCTGTAATCTATTTTAGTGGGGGAGCCCCCCACCAAAAAAGGGGTGAGAAAGGGCACCTAGCTGGGGGACCTAGTTATGGTACTGTTGTCAAATAAATGGGCTCGTGGGCCCTGGTGCCGTCTTGTGCCACCCTTTTAAAGGGAACACCAAAACGGACCCACCCCTGTTTGACCCTTGGCCCACAAAAAAAAAAACATGACACTCCCCCCATATTTAGTAAACCTCATAAAGAAAAACGGCTTTTCAGGAGATCCCATACAAACTGAGGGCTGTTCTTTTGCCGTTGGGAGGAAAATGAAGGGCCACCCCAACAATGCGCGGGACGTCCTGTTGTCACTCAAATTGGTGGCTTTTGTATGTTCAGAGGTGAAGAGGTGGTTTCCCATTTCCCCCCAAGAACCAGAGTTTCAAATCCCGAACCACGAATCCAAACCGCCAATGAAGGGCTGATTTTGGAGGGCAACAAATCCCCAGTCCACATCAGGTCCCCGCTTGCGGCCTGGCCAGCTACGCAGGGCAGCCCCTGCGTTGCATTGCGAGTCGGAAGGTTCTGAAGTAAGGAACATGTGGCCGTGGTCAAAAATCGGGTAACCCCAACATGGAACCCTGCAATTTTTGACACATGCACTCAAACTGCTGTTTTCTGGTGGTTTTCATTTTGACCCGTACCCATGTTCATTGGTGGGAGGGTACCGTGGATGGATGCCTTGTGCCGCTTCGCACCGTTCACCAGAAGTTCCCGAATAAAATTCGCACTCAGGTATGGCTCAATGAATGGAAGACCCCGACACATGGGTATTTTTTGTGAAGCCAACCTGAAAAAGGCACCGAGCCACAAACAAAGTCTGAAAATGGCGGGAGCCTCCAAAATGGGCGCGTCGGTCCGGTGTTCGTTTGGTTTGAACCCACCCAAGAAGGGTCTATCACCACAAGTGGATATATGCCAGCCCAAAAAAAGCGTCCCCCCCCTCCCCCAAGAAAACAAAAACACACACACACACACACACACACACACGAGCACCCAACGAGGCTGGGCCGAGAAGACTCTTTGGCAGCTCGCCCAAGCCTCCACATCCGGAGCCGCCAGGTTGTTGTAGACCGTTTCCTCAGGACCGGAGCCAAGCCACGGGGGAGGAGAAAACGAACAAGGGCCCTCCGTTTTTGCATGGTTCATGTTTAGGCTACACGGTCTTAAGGGCCGCCCGTTGTTTTTTTTGGTGGGGGCGAAAAAGAGGGGAACACTGGATGTTGTACTTTTGGATCCTGTGTCATATTTCGCCAACAGGTTGACTCCGATGAGTGGTTTAGGGATTTCTTGAGGGTCAATGGGTGTTTTCCAGGGGCACTCATGTTTATGTTGGTACCAATCAAGCTAGCCTCATAATCACATCCCAAGTGGTAGCTTAAATCTAGGGGTTGATTCCTTGTCCAATCTTTGCAACCATCCTTTTCAAAACCAGCCGTGTTCCCTGGGATTCCGGAGGTTTTCCAGAAAGAAGGATCCCTGGGTTTAGAATGGACATGGAAGGTACCCCTAGGTTAAAGGGACACAGCCTCAGTTGCCGACTTTGGCCCCAAATACTGACCCTAGTCCAAGGCTCCAAAGATGTAAACCCAGAAAGAAAAGTGAGGTGCGTTGAGGTGGGCTTCTCAAAAGCGGAAAATCTCGCCCCCCCCCCCTTTGCGTTGGCACGAAAAAGGGAACCTACGAGGAGACCTTTGCCATGGAGAAGCCCTTGTCTGGCAATGGAAAGAGCAGAACTTCTCCCTCCACGCCAAAAGGTGGCCTGCCAGTTCCTTTGTCACCCGCCAGCTCGGCTTCCCGGCAAAGACGTTGGCCTCCCCGGGGTGCACCAGCAGCCTTGCGACTTGCGACTTATTTTTCTGTTCCACGTGATTCGCCCCGCGCCTCTTAATTCTGCGGGTACTGAAAAGGAACCCCTAACTTTTTTGACCTACCGAAGATTTGGAACCCTTGCTGGATTTTAACTTGGTCGTTGACCTTAGTCAAAATCTTCTGTGGGGATATGTCCTAAAAATCCCAAGCCCGGCAGTCTAAAAGACTCTTTCGGAACCCTATGGCTGACAAAGAAAAACATGCAGGGGCCAGCCCGGGCACACCAACCAGGTCCAAATAGAATCTCACTACGTGGGCTCCCGGGGTCCTTCAAGGGCACTCCCTAGAAAAGAGAATATTTTTTCAGACCCCCAGAAGCCATGAAAAAAGGGCACACGTTTTGGTGGAAGTTAGCTATGATTCTTAGACAAAATGAAGGAAACACGGGCACCACGGAGGGTTTGGGACAAAGACCCCTGGTTTGTCTGGGTCGCCGGTTCCATGGAAGCCAAATCGACCCGAAGCCAAGCAGCAGCCCGTTCAGCACCGCCGGCGCTTTGCCCTGGGTGAGCAGCACACGCGCCCTGAGAGCAACGAAGGTCCAGCCGAAGTTGACGTCAAAGATATGGCTGTGGGTCAAAAAATGACTAAAACCTGTGGTCCTCTGGTGGTTTAATTTTGACCCATACCCATATGGGCATATTTTTTACTTAGGGACCCCTTTGGTGGACATCATTTAGGTGCAGATTCATGTCCACGACTTTTAAGGTGGTTCCCTAGACTCTTTGAAGCACCACTCAGGTGCTACTGAGGCCTTATTCGCAAAACGGTGCCTCCTTTTTTGCCGCATAAGGGTTAGTGCCAAAATGGGAGGATTGCCCAGTTCCACTGGGCAGCTCCCCTCAGCAGCTGATGGGAGTAGGATTGATGCCACTCCCACAGCGAGGGAGGAATCCTCCCACCTCACCGGATGCCCTCCCGGCATCATGGGTGAGGAAGGAAAGTAGCGAAGATCAGTGTGATCAATTCGCTCTCGACTGAGGGGAAGACCCGGTTCTCAGTCGGGAATTGCGGGTCCGGATGAGTAAGCTCATCCGCCCACGTGTTGAAGTCGCGTTTCACATGCGACGGCCCCAACATGACCTGCTGGTCATGCAGCGTGAGCACAATTTCCATGAGGATGGCCGCATTGGGCATCCTACGAGTGGAATCGTTAAGAAGGGAGAAAACATTTCCCTGGTTATCACTAGCCACCAGGATCCTAGTGTGAGAAGCCGAGCCGGCTGCACAAAGCAGAACGGCCCTCACCAAGAGGAGGAGGCCGAAGAGCTCCAAGGCCGCTATCGCCCGCTGCGGGTCCCCAGTAGTGAAGGCCCACGGCTCGCCCTCCGGTGTGATTCTGTGCTGGAACCACTTAACACGGGACTTGTCGGGGTTGGGCACGTCCGAGCACCAACCACCCACCCATGCATGGTCCGCCTGTCTGCCAGCTCCCGCATCAGATGCCCCCGTCCATGGGAGTGTGGGAGCAAATGGGGATGCCAGTGGGAACCTCTGGTTGAAGAGTCTCCCCAAAAGTATGGCCAGAGCACGAACCAGCTTCGGTGGCCTGCCCGAAGTGGTGCAGGCCTTCTTCCAGCTCCAAAAAGGCTGGAGGAAAGGTTTCGTCAATGGGCACGCCGAAGTAGCCCATTGAATACGGCCTAGGGCTTGTTCCACCTCCTTGCTGGTGAAGATGTTTTGCTGGGCCAGCCGTTTAAGAGTGGCCAGGATTATGACGTGTTTGACTGGAGCCAGCAGTACACAGGGCGTGATTGGGCCCACCACAAAACCCAACCAGGTATTGATCGGGGAGAGCGCCGTCTTCTTCCAGGAAAGCGGGACTCCCAGCGCCAGCAGTGTAGCCAAGATGGCTGTGGCGTCCCAGTCCGCCCGGCTGCATCTGAGGACCCAGCAGTAGTCGTCCACAAAGACTAAGTGCCAGTCCACATGGGGGAAGATGTAGTACAAGAGCCTGAGCACCAGGGATGCCTTTCTTCCCCAGTACAGCTGTGCCGAGGCCATGCCGTACGTGCCCACTCTGTTGACCCACCACCGGTTTTGGATGCAGGCCACCTGGTATTTCCAGTCTTTAGGGAGCACTTTAATACGCCTGTGGGCCTTGGTGGCATCTGCCTTGGGGATGATGAAGGTTTCCCCCTGTGTCGGCAGCTGCCATCTCAGGGGTTCCCCCCCGTCCCCAGGGCATTCCGTGCCCGGGGGGGTTGGGGGGAAGGGGGCCCTCCTATCAGGGCCCTCGGCACCTGGGAGTGGTCCCTTTCCTGAGGGTGTCGATCCCAGAGAGACGTCCATGCCGCCGGAGGTATCCATAACCCCCCTGCCCCGATCAGGCCCCTCGGCCCTGGGGGGCAGGCTGGTGCTGCGGGGGTCCCTCTCAGGGCCCTCGGCACCTGGGGACTGCCCCTGCACCGGCTGGTGAACATCCCGAGGTCTCTCCTCAGTGTTCGGGAGCGTGGCCCAAAGTAGATGGGGATGGTCCGTCGCTGTCCTGAGCCAGTGGATGGCGTGGAGGCAGTCTCCGACCATCGGTGCAGTGGTCTTCTCCCCTGTGTGAGCCTGGATGTGTGCGTTTGCTCCCCCTTTGGAGCCATCGTAAATCGTCCTGATCTTGTCCGACTCATCAATCCCTGCAAGGGGGCCCGGGCAAAGTTCCTCCGGTTTGCAGCGGCACCTCTCCGCCGCCTCGGAGCGAGTGAAGGGCCCGTCCACCATGTCCAAGGCTCGTTCCTCGTAAAAGGTTGATTCGATTTCCTCGGCAAAGAGTTCAGCCGTTGGGTAGTTATCATGAGCCACTGGCGGGGGGGGGTCTTCCCCCAGCCAGGCTTCTCCCTTAAGCTCCTCCTTAGTGGGCCAAACTCCCGGGGAGGTCAAGGTAGGGTCCGAGACTCCCAAGGGGACCCCCTCTTTCAGTGTTAGGGGGAACTCCCAATCAGGGTCACCTGAAAGGGATGCCAAGTGCGACACTAAGTCCAGGAGGAAGGGTTGTCCTGGGCATCGTTCATGGAGGTGCCTCGGTCCTAGGATAGCCCGCAGCTCCTCGAGGTCGGCTTCCTGGAAGGGGTGTGTGGTGGCACCTGATGCCAGGGACATCCGGACCTTATCAATCCAGGGCCTGGTAAGGGTCATGATCAGGGCGCCCAAAGTAGCCAAAGGGGAAATTCTCCGAAAGGGGGGGTTGAGCCTCCCCGGGGAAGGTTTCCCCCCCCCATCTCTCAGGGGGCGTGAACGGAAACCCAATTGGACAATCGCAACTCGGTCAGTGAGGCGTGGGACCCGGAAAGCGGGCAGGCATTCGGGGCGGTCCAGGACCTGGTCCCCATGTTCTTCCTTTTCCAGTTGTTCCGCATCTCCGGCCATCGGGGGCATGGGAGATGGGAAGTCTGGGTTCATAGTTCCACGAGGGCTTACGGTGTCAGCCTCATGGTGGATGTGCCCGTGCTGGCGGGGCTTCGGGGCATTCTTGCCTCCGGGCTCTGGGCCCTGGTGTGACGAGGAGGGACCGCCTCCCTGATTGGGTCCCCGTTTTCCCCGGGGAGAAGGGCCCCCAGGGGGGTCCGACCCCCTTCCCTTAGGTGGTTCCTTAGGGTTTCCCGGGAATTGTGAGGGGATCCGGATGTGCCCCGGCGCTGCGAGTGACACAGCGATGGCTTTGGCCAGGCCTGCCATCATATCCCAGGGGTATCTGCTGAGAGTCGAGGACTCGCTGGTGCCCACATGTGACTGATGTGTGCACCGCATTTGATCCCAGTCCTGGATTGGGAGATCCGTGGCAAGTGTGGTGGCCTTCTTGACCAGCTGGCCCAGGCGGCACTGGTCGAAGGAGATTGCTGTCAGGGAGTTTTCCTCCATCCAAAGCTGCCCCTCCTCCGTGATCCAGAAGGATGAGCATTCCTTGGCTTTGGGCAGCGAGCTGCTCACCACTGGGTCCTCCGGGTGCTCCAAGAAGGATTTTGGCCCTGGCAGAGAGACCGCCGATCTTGAGGCCCTTGCCAGGCTGGTGATGTACATCTGCCTCAAAATGAGGGTACTGTCCTCATCAAGCTGAGTCTGGGCGGCCTGGTCCAGGTGTGGGAGGCCCCAAAGTGTCTCTCGAGTGCGTCCTCGCACCGGGGTGGGGGCCCCCGGTTTTGGTATGTGGCGCAGGATGGACCATGTCCTGCAGTTGGGTCCTCCCCCAATGAAGACCACTCGGCCCTGCTTTGCTGCCGTGCAGAGCGCTCCATACAGCTCGGGTTGGAGCATGTCGTGGTTCCCTTTTGGTCCCGATCGTAGGATGTCTACTGCCACCACCATGCTGGAGAGGTGCGGGTAGTTGGCATGAAGACAGCTGTCTAAGGAAGTTGGGTCTTCCTTGCCTGCATAGAGCAGGACAATGATGGGCCCACTGGATGGAACTTTGGGCGATGTGCCCTGTGTCCATCTCAGCCGCTGTGCCAGGCGCTCCGGGATGTTCTCCATCCACGGGAAGGTGTCCCCTCCCGGTGACAGCTCCGTGGGACTTGTCAGGGGGGTAGCTGAAAGGCGTTGGCCCCCTTCATTCAGCCCAACAGAACTCTTATGAAAAACCACCGGGTCCTGCTTGATGATGTTGGGCGCCGGAAGTGGGATCGGCTGCCTCCTGGGCGTGTTCCTCGGCGTTGCGGTGTGCTGCCAGTTGTCCGGCACTCGGGCCTGCTGGGCGCGGCCCCCCGTGTCAGGGCCCTTGGCACCTGCGGGGAACCGTCCCGCCCCTGCCATCTCAGGGCCCTCGGCACCTGTGGCACGGGGCTGCGGCGTTGCCGTTGTGTCAGCTGTGTGGTTGTTCTGACCCCAGCTGGGGTGTTGTGCACGCTGGTTCTGTCGTCCCCATCCTTGTTCCGCCGAGGAGGGCCGCCACCTGGCCTGTCCCCCCCCTGTGTCAGGGCCCTCGGCACCTGCAGGAGGGGGCTCATGTGCCTGCTTGGGGCGTTTTCGCCCCCTCTCGCCCCCCCGGGCCCTATCAGGGCCCTCGGCACCTGAGGCCTCCCGGGGGGTCGGGGTCCGAGCCCCTAGTCAACCCGGGCAGTCCTGCGGGAGGTGGTCTCCCAGGCAGATGCGGCCCGTCGCCAGGATGAGGTTGCACTTGTGCGTGCGTCCGCAGTTGCCCGGGCAGCGCCCGCGCATCCAGTTGTTACAGAACTGGTTCCCTTTCGGATCGGTGGCCGCCTGCTTGTTACTGCCCCTGGAAGCCTGATTGTTCGGCTGGGGGGGCTTACCTTTCCCTTTGCTCCCAGGCTTGCCCCTGGACTTCCCCTTGCCCTTGGACTTGTTCTTGCCCTTCTGGGGTGGTGCGTAGTCCATGGATGTCCTGGTCTGTGGGCGGCCCCTGGAGAAGGTCCTGATCTTCTCATAGACCTCACGTGTCCAAAACAATGTGTCCTGCCTTACCGACAGCATGGCCGCCTTGAGGGTGCTGCCCTCATGCATCTGCTCGTGAATCTTCCGCCATGCATTGCGTTCGGCAATTGCCAGGACGTGGTCCTCGGGAGGGGGAAAACGGCCCCCG